CTGAATATTTTTAGAATGAAGGGTTCTTCATTCTAATTTGTGTGTTCAATTAATCAGCTGCAGTACTCGTAATGCGGTGGCAGTGGAAGTTTCCCACTAGTTCCACTCTTGTCAGAGAAAACAATCAGTATTCCCTGAGTAGGGCTGAAATAAAGACAAAAGCAACAACCACCCAGAGGGAAGTTTGTTTTAACCTTAGAATTTTACTTCCAACTCACCAAAACAGCCTCACCTGCGTATTCCTTTGGGTGTCTTTCCAATCAAGAAGGTGGTTGAACCTACTCTGCATACTTTTTTCTTTCTCTGGGTCACAGGATGCCTGACATACAGATGATGTTGCTTACTGTTCATCAGCATTTCTTGCCCTCCCTTAATAATGCTCTTCTCTGCAGTGTTGTCCTCTGGGTTTTCATCATTTTCCTAGTAAAATGAGACATTGAAATCATTAAGACAGCTCTGTCTCTGACAGAATGATGAATTCTACTGCACCCAGTTCTCTCACTCCTAGCTAGCATTCAGACTGGGATTCACAGCTGCAAATCAGAGTCCCTGCACAGTCATAAACTTCCAGGGATGTGGAAGGGAAGTCTTGGTTCTCTGATATCTAGAACAAAAATACAATCCTATTTACACCTAAATTATTTTTCGGAAATTCTCACAAATTTTCATCAAAATTTCCCCTTTGCCAAAAAGTAAGCCAAAGGAAATAAGAAAAATCAATAATGTGTATGAAGAGTGTGGAAAAACAGAAGAAAAACCCACATAAAAAAACGATAGTACCTTTTCCATTTAGTTTTTTCAAATAAAATCACAGGAAAGAATAGCTGCTTAGTGATGCCCTCAGTCTCCCTACTAACACTACTTTAGAGATGAAAACACAAACTGTGTTCACACCTTGTCATCTGCAGTTCAAAATTCGCTTTCAGATTTACAGTGTTTCTTCTCAATGTGTTTCTATTTGATCCGTCCATTTCCCTCATTTCCATGGGCCGTTCACAAGGTTTCTGAGCTTTAGGATCTCACATCTGTTCTCAACTTTACTTTGGTGAGAAACCTCAAGCTAGCATACAGAGAGAGATGTTAATATTTGGGACCTACAGACATAAATTTTCACTTTAAGACAAATGCACAACTCCAAAGCTTAAAATTCTACTGTACTATTTTAAGTTACACTATACAAAACTGAAGCCAAGTACCCAGTCGAGATAAAACCCCTATCCTCCCAATAATAGTATAATGCTAGTAACAAAATTAAGATTGAATTAGTAGTCATTACCTACAGCATAAATATTTTACAATTCTCTTGCTGGTTCTGTATACATTTCTTAACATTTTATTTTTTTTTTAACCAATGTATGGATAATACAGAACTTTGAAAGAAGAAAGCAATGATAGTTTTAAAATATATTTATTTTGATGGAAATTTTGCATGAAAAATATAGTATTCAGATCTCACTATGCTAAGACTTGGCATATTTTCACTCTGTCAGTAAATTAGGGCTGTATAGTTTAATTCAAGAAAGAGTAACTCCCATATAATACAAGACTAGCCATGTCAGTGCCTGTCTTAAAGGTATTTTAAAGTCCCATAAATGTGCATCCATCTACCTCTTTTTAAACAAGACCAAAGTATATGAGGCAGTAATACTTTGGTTTACACATCTGTTCAAACACAGAAGATTTTTAGTACCTTTGGGAAAAAAACCAAATGTTGTAAACACACTGAAAGTCATAAAATTGCTGGTCTTTGCAGAGGAACAGAATTAATGTTAGAAGTATTGCTAATTGCAAATAAACGCACAAATGGCATATTTAGTTCAGGAAGGACAAAATTTTAAGTACAGTGACCCACAGTGCCACACCCAAAAAATCAACATCCAAATACCACCATATACACACAAAGAGCTCCTCTTCTACCTAAATAAGCTGCTTAAAGATTTTTTTTTTCCTTAAGGTAGAAAAAGTGACTATAAAAAAGTTAGCACATGAGCTGAAGGAGCTAATGCCAGTGAAAGCCTGTGGTCACTGTGAGATACTCATGAAAAGCTTGTCTCAGTTTTCTGGAGCAAAGGCAATTGGTTAAATGGTACCCAATTGGGCTGAAACACAATGGTTGGCTCTGCTGAATTGGTGAATGTTTCAGAAATTCCACCCCCCAACTCCCAAATCCAATAACTTCTTTTTGAAAAACAATGAACACTTCTTCAGCAAATCCAAATCACTTTTTTCAGTTTTTTTAAAGATGTTTCCATGCTTGTTAAAGGTCAAATTTGAAGTTTGTTACTGTGAGTGACATACGGGTAACAGGTTTTATGCAGAGGTAAGCTCTGCACACTGGGATGAAAATACTCCCTCTACTCTTCTCTTAGAATTATCATGAAAAAAGCAAAAACTTCAGTCATGTTCCAGCATTGTCAACATTTCACACTACTTTGCTTTCTTTTGAATTTGACTGGATGGATTACCCTCCTTAATTTATTGTTCTCATGGCCAATATCTTTCCAATTATCTTTTAATGTTTGCCCTCTAACTCACTGATTTCATGATGAAAACTTCCTTTCAACAGCTTTTTATATTTTCTGTTCCTTGAGCACCTTCCCTAACAAACCAGTGTGTCCCCATTATTTGTTTCTACATGAAATCCCACCATGACTGTACAGCACTGGTCACCTTCACCTGAATTATCATGTATATCACATGTGAAAGACAGTCTCCTAATGTAAGACTGAAATTAAGAGAATTTGACTCAACTAGGAGCATCAGACTCTTGTTCTGACACTACTGATACCAGCACATTTAAACTATTTATATTATTGTCACACCCTTTATGAATCAATAAATGCTAGGACCAAGAGAATGAAATAATAAAGGAAATAAAACCCCTTCACTGTATGCTATAGCATACATATATCACACACTGTCTGCTAAATATTTTAAAAGAATTTTGACAGGGAGAATGACAGCAATCATGAAAGCAGTTAGTCTTCACTAAATATTTAAATACATTAAAGACAGTAAGCTTTTGCAGTGCACTTTAAGAAATTTCAGCTGTTCAAAGGGGAAAAGTTTCACTTTAACTGGAAAACATACTTACTGGTCATCTGATAAATTAAGTGTGCCTATACTGAATTATCTGTAAAACCATTACACATTTCTGTATCCACATTTTCTCCTCTCCGTAAAAACCTTTGGGGGCAGCAGAGGAAGGTGCAGTGAAATAATTACGTTGACATCAAAGATAAAAATCTGTCTCCTGCTGCCTAAGTATGAAGTTTTAAAACTAGTATGCACCTACCGAAACCAATTCTTGTCTATCTTTGACAGTACAAAACTTCAGTATCTGTTCTTCCTATAAACAGGCATAAAGAAGCAGCTCAATATTCTGGAGCAATGAATGCTAATTCATGTATAAGCATCTTTAGACATGACTGAGATGACTGGCCACCTTGAGCCAGCAAATTCACTCCTTTTCTTTACTCCCTTCTACCAAAGCAAATACACCAAGATTAAAAGGTGTGGGAGTTAGATGAGAAGACAAAAAAGAGAAGAGAGAGAAAAGAGAGAGAAAAGAGAGAGAAAAGAGAGAGAAAAGAGAGAGAAAAGAGAGAGAAAAGAGAGAGAAAAGAGAGAGAAAAGAGAGAGAAAAGAGAGAGAAAAGAGAGAGAAAAGAGAGAGAAAAGAGAGAGAAAAGAGAGAGAAAAGAGAGAGAAAAGAGAGAGAAAAGAGAGAGAAAAGAGAGAGAAAAGAGAGAGAAAAGAGAGAGAAAAGAGAGAAAGGAGAGGCTCAGGGATACTTTTTTTTTCAAGCTGCCTCATATCTGTGGCAATTCACTGCGTCACCAGACTTGGAGGATGATGAACGTTCTTCAACAGCCTGAATCTGAAGTTGAAAATATGTTTGTATAATTATTCTTCAGCCATAGCTGCACCGTGTCTGACCATCTTCCTCTCTTTTACTGCCTAACTACCCAAAGTATCCCTGTAGTATCTTGCCAGATACTGACTTCCAGTCAGCAATAACCCCCTGATTTCCCAACTCACAGCTGAAACAATGTTATGAGGTTTTTCTCTTCAGGTATGTGTGAGACCATTGCTGTCAGATACCCAGGACACACACTTACACAGCACAGTTCCACTGTTTGTTTTCATTTCTCAAACAAACAAGAATGGCCTTCTCAAATGGCTTGTTGCCTTGCAGTCCCCCAAAATAATACAAAAGCATGAAACACAATGAATTCAGGGTGACTGAACTCTTAAAACACATCTTACAAGCAAATAAACACTTATGCCATATCCTACTTTGTATTTTCCCACTCTCCTCAAAATGTGAGGCAATACATGACTTCGCATATACATTTGTGATTTGCAGTTGGTTTTGGATGATTATTGATAATTTGATCATTTGATACTGCATTCCAGTCTCATTATCTACCCAAATTACAATTCTATATAGTTTTTCTTTTTTTTTCTTCCTTTTCTTCCCCCTCCCGGGAAGTTTTTGTGACATTATGTGTGAGTTATTATGACCTTTTCATATGCTTTTCTTGAATATATGCTGAATTATGCTTCAAGTTACAATAAGGGTTAAGATTTATTATGGCTCTAAATTACTCCTCCAAAATATTTTGCCAAACCAAGAGACCAGTAAAATTAAAGTTAATAAAACTAAAGAAATTTTAGAGTAATATGTACTAACTTTCCCCTGCTTGTTCCAAACAGCTTTTCTGCACAAATAAACTGAGATGGAGGACATTCCACAAACTGTTCTTTTGCATGGTAGTGGAGAATTGACTACTAAAGTCAACTGTGAACAAACTGCTCTCTCTACTTCACATTTGTTTCCAAGTCTGTTTCTTCTACAATCAGGTAACAGAGCAAGAATTTTTCATTAGGAGTAGTTTTATTTAAGTTGTTGAGCCTTTAGCAAAGATAATTGCTATATGACAGATCACTGTCTTGCAACAAAAACATGATTTTAAATCAACATATTATCAATAAATCAACATTTATTATTGTTGAGAATGAGAGGAGATAGTCAGCCTATCTCAGAATTCAAAGTTTAAACTAACTGCTTACTCCAGCAGAAGTCTGTGGACTTACTCCTATCTTCTTTCACCTTCTCAGCCTTCCATCAAACAGGAGGGAAACCAAAGGCCACGCACATCTGTCATAATGAAAATGCCACGCAACGAATGCCACATATGAACTGACTACATTTAAAAAACACGACCAAAAGCCATACTGGAATGTTTAAACTGAAAAAGTAAATTCGAAAAAGCAGCATTACAGGCCAATCATGTGGGAACAATTCTTTTAAAGCTGAAGAGTTCACCATCCTAGAAGAGCAAAGATAAAGGCATGTTATCTCCCAAAAGCCTACTCTTTGTAAACAACCATCTAAACTTGTTGAATCTGATAGCTGTGCAAACACACTGCAATCAGAGTTCCTACAACTGATAGAAAGTCTTTGTTTAAATAATCTACAAAATGTCAATGTAATACAAATAAGATAAAGAGGAGTTCTTAATGACACAACTTTTGTATTTACAGTATTCTCAACAGTACTTAAATCTGCAGTGGAGATACAAAGGGCACCGTTTTTTCTAGGCTGACAGCATGCTTAGTTTTTTCATTTACACCACATTGCAATAACATAAAGAGGGGTTTACCATTAATCCAGGTTTTACTACAAAGCATCTCGTTATTTCTCTGTCAAACACTGGCAATAGTGCCAAATGTCTGTCATCCAATTTAGAGGATTAAGTCTTCCTTTATAGTGCAATTCTTGTACGAATTTATAAAAATACAGATAAAGTTTCTTAGAGTTGGTCACAGTCTATATTTTGGCCTGAATTCCTGCCGCAAAGGTTGAATATGACAGCTGGCAGGAAGCTGAGGGAAGAATATATCCTCCCCCTTTTCAGTCACCACATTTCTGTTGCCATAGTGATTAATCCTCAATTGAATGGCTGTCTTTGTACATTTCTTTTCAGTAAAACTTAAAGTAAACTTAAGTTGAAAACATGCAGTTGACTAAAAAAGAGACTCTACATATTCAACAGGTACAGTACATGGTCTCCCGACTAACACTTTTCCACATACCAAAAAGTGAAAATTAGCTCTCATGTGGGACATCATCAGTTTTCCAAATTATTTAGTGTGTCCTGTTCCCATTTTCTGTATTTTTTTGTGAAACATCCAAGCCTTCTCCAAAGATTTCCCCAGGCTCACTCAACTCCCCCATCACCCTGGATTCCAACTGAAGAAGTACTACACAAATTCAGCTTTACAGGAATTAGAGAAAGCCTATCCCAGACTTCCATACTGGTGTCAAACATTTCATATAGGCTGTTTTTGCCAATTAACACAGAAATTAATTAGGAAATTCATTAAGGAATGCAGTCATTTAATTGAGAATAGCCTAGAAACACTAGAAAGAAGATATTTAATCTCGCCTCCAGGAAGTTTCTCCTTCTTATGGGAGGTAAGAAAAAGTTTCACAGATAACAGTGCAAGTTATCAAAAAACTGAAGTAAGTAAAAAACTTCTGCACAGAAAATCAGCCAAGTTGTTTTGGAACTTGGAGCTCACCAGAAACAAAAAATAAATCAAAAATATCAATACTTACTAAATGACTAAGATCTTAGTGAAGCTCTTAACACTTTCAATTCCCCCTCCAGCAAATTAGTAAAGTCAGAATAATTTTGAGCAATATATCTCATGAATTCTCAAGACTATTTTTTTATCTCTGGAAGGCTGAAATAACTGTATGTCTCCTCTGAAAATTATGGTCTGGTTTTGTAAGTCCACCATGTCCAGTCTACAGGTTCATTTCACACGTTTGCTTTTAGAAGCTTTTGTTTTCCATATGCTTCTGTGGTTACACAAGATAGTCCTTTTTTTGTTTTCAGCTATGTCCTTAGCAGACAGTGATGTGGTAATAGAGACAGTAATCTTCTATTTTTTTAATGAAACCACAATGAATATTTAATTAAGTCTCTTTGTTCAGAGAAAAGGTAGCTGGGGTATACAAATACTGGGCACAGGTAAAATTAAGGGCAGACTGGGTACTTACTACTGAATAAAAAATAAACTTGACTGAAGCCTGTAATTCAAAAGGTTAAGAGAGACTTGACTGTGAATTACACCAGTGCAACCATGTAGATCTAACACAGACCTTCTAAACTCTAATTAGGGAAAGAAACTATCACCAAGATGAACTTTGGGCTAAGTAAAAGTGTTCAAGTCTTACATTTTTGTACAACTAATTTAAATCCAAGTTCATTAGTTACTCATGTTCTTAAACAAGGTGCTCTACATACCTTCAAATTTCTCTCCTGAAGAATAAGACTTGCTGCCCCACCACCCTTTATACCTTGGCTCTCAAGGATCTTCTTCTCATGCAACCTCTCTCACTTTCAAAGCAGAGTCCTCACAGGTTTTGCAGTCTGCTCCAGCTTTAAGCAGTTTCTACAGCTCAAGCAACTACATTAGTCTCCATGCTTCAGTGGTAAAGAAAGTACTAATAAACCTAATTTATACTCCTTTTAGCTACTACAGGTAGAAAAACAGGAAGCATACATTGTTTTCTACTGCTTTCCAGCAATTTATTTTTAGTTTACTCGCTCACCTACTTTCCATAAATTAGCCATTGAAACTAAAGAACTTAACAGAGGCTATAAAAGTTTACATATATTTAGTGAAGTAAAAATGTGATTCGATGACTTGTCAATAGCAAGAAATCAGCATGTCAATGTTCTCACAGGAGGTTATTGATTATTTTTCCTTATTATAACCACTTACTATCACTGTCATTCCAGATTAATATGGAAACATGAAACAAAAATATTTCACTCAAGTGCTCAACCAAGATTTGGAGGAATTTGTATCTCCCAACTTGCAATTCATCCACTTCAATGGAATAATTCTAGTTTTTAAGAATTCTGGAACCCCTTTCACAGAGATATTAGTGATTACTTGAAAAACGTATTTGAAATACATTAAATCAGAAATGCATTATCACAGACAGCCTGCTGAGTGAAATTGTAAAGCAGGAAGACAGAGTTGGCATAGGCAAAATGAACACCACAAAGGACATTTTACTTTTTGGTCCTAAGCAGACTTATCTATGAAATGAAAGGAAAATAACTTTTCCACTTCTGCTTAGAAATAAGAGAGTTTGATTATGTGTGCTTAGGAAGGGACATAAATATTATCAGGGAAAAAATATTATTCAGGAGCCTTCATGACACTATCAAATAAAGCTTCCATATAAATACACTGTAAAAATAGCTTCTAATTATGATCATTGATACCCAGAGCAATCAAACAGCTACACAAGAGTTTCTGAGAAACTCCATTAGACCAGTGATGCCAGAAAATGACATGTGAGGAATTTTGTCTGATAGAACTCTGCTCTCCTCTCAATAACTATCAGTTTCCAATTAACATTCCAGCATTCAAAACTGTAATTTTATTTACTTAAAATAATGACGGAAATTCAAATGATTCACCTGTATTTTTAGTATTGCATACAATGCTACTTTAGTCTGTCGAAAAAGCTTTTCATTAAACTTTATATAAAAACAGCATTCCTTTGATAATGCAAGTAGTTGCTCTGACAGTGAATGTCCTGACTTAAACTGATGGGAAATAAGTAAAAATGACCAGCAAAGACTGATGGCCAGAAGCACAACAATAGCCATGTTTTTTCCCAAAATGCCTTCTAAAGTAAAACAAAGTAATAAAGAATCTTTTAAAGTTGTCTGTGAAGCTCTGGCAGCTCTTTTTTTAAGCAGAGTAGAAAAAAAAATTCAGAGTGCCACATCTAAGAATAGGCCATCATCTAGGGATTATTTCTGGATTGGTGCCTCTAGAGTAAAAGAAATAACAGGAAGTGAAGGAAGAGGCAGACTTCTCTATAATTTTTGATATTTTTCTTCCTACTTAGTTCTCCAAGAGATACTACTGTTGCTTCTGAGCAACAAATTTATATCTTATAAAAAATGACAAGTTAATCAAAAGAAGTTGATTTCTAATACTTCCACTCACATAAAATAAGCTCTAAGTTCCAGGAACAAAACGAACTTTTTGAACAGAGGTGGATCAACAGACTTTTAGACAATATACTCCCTTTAAAAGTTTTCTTTCATTTATATTTGAGTTTAATAATGTTGTCAGCCAGTGCCAATTAATAAGTACCTTTCTACAGTACTCTTGAGTATTTTTGACCAACTTTTCTGTTAATGAGGGACATTCTAATGCAAATATGTTAGAATTAAAAAGGTCTCACTTTTACTGGTTCTCCTGGTTTGATCTTCCCAGTCTAAAAATTCTTTGGCAACTGTGCTAATGGTTTAATTAAATACAGTACAAGAACAACAACAACAACAACACTGGAAGAAACTCTTCCAGCCACTGTGGATGTTCAACACCCCAGAACAACACAGATGTATGTCTACAATTTCTATAATGATTGCTAACAAGTCTGTGAAGACTAAGCTGCACATTCACCAATTACTTGTTCTGTGCTTGTGGTTTATCTTAAGCATCAGCCTCGGAAGCTACAAATGTTTATTACAAGAGAAACAACAAAGTACCCAGATAATCAGAGTAGATTAAAACCACTAAGTAAAGGGAACAAAAATCTGGAAGCTCTACCTGAATTTATTCCAGATTTGTATGTATTCCCAATGCAATCAAACAACATGCATGACCAACAAAAAGCATTAAATGTATCTGTCCCTGCAAATAAGCACTCCCAGGAAACTAGTGGTATGTTTCAGACATTAGACAACCTGACTCACTACAGCAATTGCACACACTCACCTCCCCAAAAAGCTTGCAAACTGATTTATGTTTGACTTTCTATGCTACAGAGTTTTCCAGAATGTACTGTGGCAACTGGATTTTTTTAAATCGGATCCAGGACAAGCCAAAGAATTTTCAAGGCTCAAATGAGAAAAACATGGCACAGAATTTGATTTCAAACACCCAATCTTTAATCTTACCATTTCTCTCACAGAAAAATCCCACAGAGGGTGCTGTGCTGCTTAAAAGCCACTCCAAAAACCAACAGTCATTTATTAGACTTCCAACTGAGCTTTCTCCTCCTCCCATCCTCAATGGCTTTGATCATTCATGGTGGCCATTAACAGAAAAACAAGTCTTTTGGAGTTTTTTAAGATGAAAAATGAGGGTAAAAAAAAAAAGAGTTAAACCAACATTTCCAAACATTTCTCTTTACCTTGGCACTACAGACAGCAACATTAGCAGGAAGCTGGGAAAACTGCTTCAACTCAAACACGTCTCGCACTGCCCACCGGCTCAGGTGATTTTCAGCCTTGCTGGATCCCACCACGTTCTGATTGGAATGAATATATGCCACCTCTTGAACACCATCTGAGACATCAGGAGAAAGACAGAATCAAAAGTGTTGGTTATTCCAAAACTTCGAAAGTACACGGTTCCACCGAAGGATACTGTAATTAAGAAAAAAAAATTACATCGAAGTCATAAAATTTGTTCTGATTTTACTCAGCACCAATTTTCTCAGCCCTATGAAACTAACAACAATCATTAGACTTACTTGGATTTATCTGGACAGTTTAAAACTACTTCAATTTCCATGTGTGCTTTTTTTAGATGGACAAGGAAGTTTCAAAGCATCTATGGTTTAATGGCTGCAATATTAATGTTTAAAATTAAGTCTTTTACAGAATCAAGTCTTGTACGTGGTATTTCAAACTCCCAGATCGCTTTTTTTTTCCATGTACGTTAAGTTTCTATTTAACAGCTCTGTAAAGACTTTTAAGGTTCTGCAGTTCAAATATTTCATTCGTGAATTCTTAATACATCTTTGATCTTAGCATTGTTCAAGAGACAGTCAGTCTTTAACACAGTACTACAAAGCAGTCTGTCACTCCAGAGGACAGGAAAGTAAGACTAATAGGTAAAAAGAAAGACACAAAAAGATATTACTAACTAATTTAGCAGAGCATTTACCAGCATCCTGTAACAAACAGCATGTATAGCAAGAAGAACTTAGAGCCTGCAGACAATGGTAAATTAAACCTACGTTATTACTTATTTGAAATAAAACCAAAGAAATTAAATTACTAGTTACCTAAATATCTGTCCATTGATTCCATTTTTTGCTCTTGATGCTCAAATTCAGTTTTTCTTGCAGAAGTTCTATGCACAGCATAACTGCCAGACTCTATCTGTGCAACAGAGGTATCTTGAATAGTATGCAGTGTTTTAGACCCAAACTGAACTCTGCCTCTCTGCCTTTTACACTTCTGGCTGTGCTTTCTGGCCTCAGTTTTCTCAGCTGGAAAATCATCTTCAGAGGATGAAAATTCATCTATATTCTGTGAATCACTTTCTTTTTCTTTTCTACTGGGCTTCTTTGCTTGTAGCAGAGATTTGGAGACATTATCTAGTTCATGTTTAAGGGCACATCTTTCCTTGTGTTTTGGAAAGCTGAAAGATTCTAGCTCTCTTGATTTAGAATCCTGGGAAAGTTCAATATCATCAGATTCATCACTTATGTCACTTGCTCCTTTCAAAGCTGGGTCATCCTTGATGTCTTCAAAAGATGTCTCAACACTGTGGAACCCAAACTGCCTACTGGCTCCCTTAAACACAAACCCAGCTTTTTCTTTCGCTACCTCTTTGCAATTTCCAGATGTTGACCTGCATATTTCAACTTTTTTAGTAAGCACTGCTTGAACTTGAGTAGGAAAGATGACATCATCACCCTCTTCAGAACTACTTCCAGTCTCCAAGACTGTATCAGGTTGCTTGGAAAGGCCTTGATCCTCATTTTCTCTGTCCCCTTCCTCCTCAGAGCCTGAGAAATCAAGCCAGTCTGTACCATGCATATCTTTTTTATCAGTTCCATCTGCTGCCAGAACAGCTTTCCCATGCTCCAAAACAGGCACACTGCTTTGGCATTTCTGAAAATCACTGTGCTTGCTATTTATGTTTTTTCTTACAGTCTGATCATCAGAAGGCCACTGATGAGAATTATAATTATCATCCCCTTCTGAGGTAGCTTCAATTTCTCTCTGCAACAACTTAGAGAATCCACACTGCATTAAAGAAAGTTGACCCTTTGCTACCATTAAATTATTTGCATTGCAAGGCTTCCTTCTGTCACATTTTTTCACAGAAGTTTCCAGAACATCATCATCACTGAAGTCATCCCAAAAATCTATTTCTTCTCTGTTTAATTGTGCCTGAGCGCTTTGGGGATCTCCATCTTCTTTACAGTCTGCTTGTTCATACTAAAAAAAAACAAAATTACATCAGAGCTATTTAACATTAACAGTATATGGAACACACCTAATTTCAAAGCAGTGTAAAAAAAAAGTGGATTTTCACTATGTTACTCAAGCAAAAAATACACAAAGTGGTATTACAAAACGCAAATAGAAAGCAAATACAAAATAAATCATAATGAGAAATTATTAAAGTCTCTGGCAGCTGAAAATTTTTAGCAGAAAAATAATGAAAATAACCAATAATTTTGGTTAAAAATCAAATATTAGATAAATACTTAATATTACATATTAGAGACAATATATGCTGCACACTGCTAAAACAAGCTATATCTTCACAATCTACATCCATATTTTTCAAGTTTATACTAATTTCATTGCTACTTTTCATCTTTCAAAGGTAGTTTGAAAGGTTACTTCATGATTCAAACCTTAATATTGTGTAATAACAGTCATTAAAAAAAAAAAATCTCACTGCAATGGTTAACCACCTTGTATATGGGGGCCAACATTAGAATAGTCATGAGCACACAACAGTCCACTCTAAAATTAGTTGAGGTCTACTGTAATCAAACAAAATTACACCCAGGCAACTTCTAAACATTTTGAAGATACCAAAGTCCAGAACACAGCTACAAAACTCTGTACTACTGAGACAAGAATTATGACAACCTGTAAATGGAAAGTCAGAAGGGTAAACACTAAAATTTGGTACATGAAGAGATGTTTTAAAATTAATATATAAATCCTGGTATCATCCTGCTCATCAAAAAGTATTCAACATAAGCTTAGAAAGCTACTGTTTATCACCAAGTCCAACGTGAGATCACAACCATACAGAGATGTATTATCAATGAGCTATGATCAATAAGTTATGATCAATGTGAAGGCATATATTAAATTAATACTGACATTTACTCATAGAAATCTCCAACAGGCATAAGAGATGGCAGCTAATTCTTAACACCATTCAGTGTGATCTAATCTAATACTATCTTTACTCTTGCAGGTCATATTACAGACCTAACTGCTTGCTTCCCTGAGTACCTGAACACAGTGTTCAGCCAAAAACATTCCTATAAATACAATACTCCTATTAAAATCAACCTTTTCAGGAAAAAAAAAAAGTGTTCCAGAAGAAGACCATTATGTAATTACATACATTAAAAAAAAGACAGTATTGACCAGACCACTGACTTGATGGGAACCACTGTCTCATTGTCTGACTACAACTAAACAGCCTGAAGCTTTCAACAGTCTAAACCAATTGCAGTCCTTTCCACAATTCCCTAAACAAAATCTTCTAAACAACAGGGTAAAAGTATTATCAGCCTAACAACTGCAGTACCAGAAACCAGAGGGACTGTCATTCTCTGGCCCACAGCCCACAAGGACATCTCACCTTTTCTGAGCTGCACGGAGCACTCTCTTCCTTCAGCCAGGTAGTTGCTGTCATGACTCCTGCTTCCACCTGCCCTTCCCTCTAAAACAATCAAATATTTAATTAACATCAACAGATACTGGTTCTGCTACATATAAAAGGCAAGCCCAGGAAAAAAATACCCAAAGGCTTTTTCTTTCCTTCTACAGAGGTGTAGAAGCACAATTAGCAAAGTCCAGACTAAATCCTAGCACATGCAAAATAACAAAATAATGGGAAGGATGGAAAGAAACCTGGAATAAAGCTACAATAAACTTCAAGATGCAAGCTAGCTGCAGCAAACATGCTTTACACAAAAAGGTATAATACTGCATATACTTGAAATCAGTTTAAACTATGGAATTGGGCCAACAGGTTTTTCAGAGTAACTAAGAAATTAATTTTAAAATATGAAGCCTCATAAGTTATTTACTTACTTCCACCCTATAACATTCTAAAATACGGTATTATAAAATACATTTTATTAAACAGTTTTTGACATCTCAAAATGTACTATGAAAAGGTTACTATGATCACAAAAAATATTTTTATGACCAGAATTCCGGCTTAAAAGGTCAGCCTGAGCTATTGATGAATAAAAGATATCTGCGCGCAAAGCTGACAACATGTGAAAGTATCAAAATATAAGTTAAATAATTTTTATTAAGAAATATATTAGCAAATTTATGAGAATTATAATCCAAGCTTTTTCCATTCTTTGATTTAAAACAATTTATCTGCTCTACATCAGAGTGAGAAATTAGCATGTCTATTTCATTTAAGTCACTGCATAGAAAAGCACTGTTCCAGTTTCACCATTCTGTTATATAGTTTTTCCATTCAAAACGACAACAAAAGAATCTCCTGAGGAAAGAAAAAATGTAAAACTAATATCCAAAAGTAAAAGAATAGCACTTCACACCTCCAGGATGTCTTTGGTAAGACAGGACCCATGAATCCTAAGTTTGAAAAGGTTATGGATCCCAAAAAGCTCTCCCTGGTGTTCCTTTGATCCTTGCACTGCCTCGAAATATCTCTTGGCATTTTCACTTCCAACGACCGCACAGTGAAGTTGCTAAAACAGAATAACACGAGAGATTTGAGAAGAGTTTGCTGCAACAACACATCAGAATTTCCTGGCTCCCACATTATATACACAGCTTTAGCTGGAGCAGGGAGAAATTCCTAAGAGAGGATGTTTTAATTTCCCTAGCAGATGCTGGTACAATAGACTGTGGTACAATATACACCTGCTTGGTTTTACTGAATTTTCAAAAATTTAAATATTTGAAGCCTTTTACTGTATCGTTGGCTAATATCAGACACCAACTATACACACTAGAGGCACTCCTCTATATCTTGATTGCTTAGCTTTCCTCAGTACTAAATTGTAACTATTCTTTTACTGTCTTGTATGTTTACTTAGTAAGGGAATGCAATCCAAGCGTAGCCAAAAATAAAGAATCTCGGATTTACTACTCCTCCCTTTATTGCTTCTTATTAAACTTGAGAAACACAAGTCAATTTGAAAGGAAAAAAAAAAAAGGCACAGAAGCTTTCAAGAATTTTTGGAAATCCAAACAGACAATATCCAGGTCTTCTTTTCCTACAAGTTCACCAACTCCCAAAGCCTCTGTGAAGCAGGTTTCCATCCTTCAGGATTTTAGTGAACGGAGCTGGCTGTAATCTGCTACTGCTCATTTTGTCAGCCTTTCTGAGACTTCTCCTACTGATTCCTGCTGTTGAAACGACTCCTCAAAAGTATTTTGCACATCAAAACTTTGGAAGAGGATCCTCTCTACGTTTTCCCATGAATGTGGATGTGAAGAATACATATAAGTAAGGTGTTTTTTTTTGCAAGGAACGCTCTTTCAAACCTTGCTAAAGTAACAGTCATACAGCAGTACAATTCATACTCCTGATATGTTAAAAATGTAAATTATTAGCTTTTATATTTTTGGACCACTGTCCCTCAAAAACAGATTTTGGACTTACCATGCATTATATTTAACTTGCCTTGTTAGTATATGATTTCAACTACTAATGCATCTTCTTAATTCTGAGCTTCTGATACAGAATCTCTGCAAATTGCCCAATTACCTGTTACCACCTCAGCCCATCACCTACTTCTTTTGACTTCTCCTTAACAAGTTTTGTCTTTTTTATTTACATAATTTTGTCAGAATTAAACAGAACTCTAATGGCTGCTTGGCTTCTACAAAACACTGAATTTGAGTGAGATGAAAGTCACCATTATACTTTGAAAGTAGGATTTTAAAGCAAGCCATACACATTACTGGGAGCAGTTCAAGATTGGATCTGTCAGGTTTTTGACTATCTGCTCTGTGAAATCAGAGGATCTTAGAACTTTATTCTTACTTGTCACTTACTTAAATCCAAGGAGAATAATGACAATCTGTTTACAACTGCATTTCCCACTCATTCAGCCTCCAGCTTCCTCCTTGTAAATAACCTAAGTACAACTGCTTGTCACTGAGGACTCATTACCAACTTTTTATTATTTATGGTCAAAAATTCAAGTTACCAGGTTAATTCCTCAAATCTAGTAAGGTTTTCTTCAATATGTTGTATCACTCTCCTACTGAGGTGACCTAATTTTATCTTTTCTATGTAGTGTATTCTTCAGGACAACTGTATCCCACTGGTTTTCTACCTTTGTCCCAGTTTACATGCCTGTAATGTCAGAACCTTAAATTCAATCATCTTATTTCTTAATTTGCGACTTTTGACAATTGCTAAATGATGTATCTTTGCTTTGTAAGTTAAGTTAATAGCATATATCATCAACCCAAAGTAAATTACAATTTTGCTATAGGCTAGATTAGCTTTCAGTCACCAAGACTGCTAAAAAGAGCCCCAAATTTAAACAGCTTGTGAACTTTACCTGTTTATAAACTTGTCGCAAATACATCATCTCTTCCACAGTTCCCAAGGAGATCAATCTAAACACTTTAACAGGTCTGTACTGGCCAATTCTGTAAGCTCTGCAAGGACAGTGGCACATCAAAAAACATTTTTAAGAGATAAGAGAGCTCTTGCAGTAGTAAATAAACACAAAAATAAGTAAAAGCATTCTAATAAAATAGGACTATTCTAAATTATGCTTGCGTTGGTTGGGTTGTTTTTCTTTTCCGCATTTTCCTCAGTAATTAATTTCCTTTTCCTTTACCCTTAGTATTCCATGTTTCTCCAGAGGCCTAGGAAGTTAAAAAGCTTTCTCCTCATTTTGTATCACAAGAACTGCATCCCATCTCTTCTGAAAACACGTCTTCCACTCTGTTTATCTCAGGTTTGTTTCATTTTTCTTTTCTCCTCTCTGTCTACACCTGCTCTTGCTCAAGGTATTCTCTTATTTGTATTATATAGAGGAATTAGTTCATGGATTACATGGAACAGTCTGTTCTTTCTTAACTTTCTAAAGCACTTTGCAGGTTACAATATCATAAAAACAGGTAATGAACTGGCAGTGTTCTATCCAAATGGTAAATTCCAAGACATCTAATAAACTATATTCCACAAAATTCACAAGAGGCTGAACCAATTCATAGAAATGTGATCTTGCAAAGATTCTTTAAAGACAGTACCCAATACATGTTTCTGACACACATATTTCACTCGAACAGGTGAACATAAATATGTATTAGAAGTGAGAAAGACCCTTAAAATGGAATTATATAATTGCAGGAGATAACAGAAACAATTTATTTCTGCTCATAAAAATATATAGAGCTACTGAATTTTGAAAGCTTTCAATGTTCTTTACTTCAGCCAGCCAGAAGTCTGTCTTGAATTCCTAGGGAAACATCCCACAGCCAAAAAGCCTTGAAAGAAATATCTGTATTACTAGAAATACTCCAACAGCATAATATAAGAGCTAGAACTGAGTGCTGAAAATACTCTCATCTCCACAAGGGTGAAGCAGAAAGGTTGTCTTTAGGGGTTCTGGAATTCAAAACATCACTTTAACTGGGGTCAACTACAATGTATTCTGTCATGAAAAACACAAGAAAAATGATAGCTACACACACACCCATTCTATAGAGATCACAAAAAGTTATAGTAAAAAATTTCTTCCTCAAGGAAAGTTTTAGTTGGAGAATCAGATTATGGAATGAAAGCGAAAGAAGAGTACAATATGGATCAAGTTCTGTATTTTGAGAGTGTACCTGTCAATTGCTTGAAGATCATTTGCTGGATTCCATGTAGGATCAAACAGTATAACAACATTGGCACCCACAAAATTAAGACCCAGTCCACCAGCCCTAAAAGAATAAAAATGAGAAAAATAGAATTATATGACAATAAAAACAACCCTGAAAAAAAATTTTCTGTATTAGATCCATATTGTCACACCCTTCCCAACATAAAAAAGAACACAATAAAGATACTGAAAACAGTGCAGTATAGCTTTGTGCTACTGTTGTATTAATAACCACCAAGTACTCAAATAACCATTGCTATAAAATGCAGTCTTCTCACCTCAGTATCATGCTTGTTACAAACTGAATAGCTGAGTCATAACCAACTACAATCAGCTTTCTTAGTAGAAGTCTTGGTTGCTACTTCATTCCCCCTAAGTCCTGTCCAGGCCAACTCCTCCAGTGATTATACTGAAATTCATAACCACTTTTATGCCAGTTAACTTCATGGAAGCAGGAAAATTTAGCGTGAAATTTTACTTCCTCTAATCCCAGCACACAGTTTCAACAATAATGCTATGCAGCTTCCACTGAAATGGTCACACTCTAGGGTAAGTCACACCTGGAAGAATTAACAGCTCTCACAAGTGTATTTGTACAGTATGTCACTCAGTTGTTAAAAACACAGTTGCCCACACAGCTGCATATGAGCAATATTCATACCAGTCATTACAAGGAAAAAAGTCCCTGTCAGAAAATTGTCTGCTCTGGGGGTTGGGAGTCACAGTTACATCATCTTAAAACACTTAACAGTTGGACTATTCTTTCAGGTAAAGCCTGCAAGCCAGGAAAGAATTTGAGCACATGCCTAACCTGAGGCAGCTAACTGCAGAATCCAATAAACTGCTCAGTTCCTTGGAGTCTGGCATGTGCACAGCCAAATGATTTGACAGGAACAAAAGTGAGGAAAACACCACTTCTCATCAGGTGCAAAACAAGCAAATACTGAATATTCTTTTCAACTGGCTCAACCAACCATCGCACAAAAAGGGACAAGTTACTATACAAGCACGTGTTAAACACTATTATTAGTTAAACTATTAAAACAAATGTTCACATTGACATAGGCATGGCTAAGTTCAAGTGTATTATTTGCCTGAAAGAGCTACAGCAAAACTGAAAAAGTCAATCCCATTTAATTTACCAAGTTTAACAGATTACTTTAGATTCTGCTTGTTTAAAGCAGACAGGAAAGGGAAAGTTTCCGGTAAAAGACTGAACCAAAAACTTAGGGAGCCCCACCACGTTTTGGTTTTCATGGAATCCATCTCAATGTAAACGCAGTTCTGGCCTTGTCCTTCCAGGTGTGATGTGGTGTTGGGTCAGTTAAATCTAACAGATGTTTCCGGCGGATGCACATTCTCAAAGTTTGAAATGCTGAATAAAAATATTTGCATTTTTTTCAGGATATGCTGCGGTATTTTGGAAATTTAGTGTACTTCTTTGCAGTGAAAACAGAATTCAGCCTCTTGTCTTCCCAAACTAATCCTGCAGTTGGACTGAAACGTAAGTCAATGTGTAAAACAGACTATCTACAAAAACTAAACAGGATACTTAGCTTTATAATAATTTCACCTTCCAGTATTTTTAAGTATGACACAAAAACTCAGGTGCTCTAAAGCAGAAAAAGAATGGCTCCTATGTCCTTCATGGACAGAACAAATGCAGTCATTTGTGCACTGTAAAGCATATCTTCCATTTTAACTATCTGTTTAATTAGCTGTTAGTCATTACTGCAATTTTAATCCATGCAAACCACTATAATATGGCTCAAATAAAGAGTTTTGTTACAATGAACAGTTGTCAAAAGATCATCTTATTTAAAACTGCACAACCTTTTACCTCAACATTCAGAAGTTACAGAACAATACTGCATTAGGAAAGTTTCTATGAAAGCTTTGACGATGTAATTCTGTTTACCAAGATAAGTTTTTCATAGTTCCTACATTCTTTCAGTGAGATCTTGCGGTTTAAAGTTCTTTGAACATTATCATATATGCATTAAAAGTTATTTGCAACAGAGGTGAGAAGAGTTCAAGTTAAATGAAGCCTTGTAAAAGTAGAAAGTAATGATCAGGAGTCCAGCAATGGACAGTCATTGAGAATGCTGCAGGTAGAAGGGAAGTGCATATGTAACCTTTCATGAAAAAAACTACCTACAAATTTCTCTAAGCACTTCTCTTTTCATAACAAAGATAACCAAGATGCAGAAATGGATTTTCAGTAACAATTACTCTGAAGGAATTAATCTAGAGAAATACTGGCATAGAAACTCCAGAAATAGTGATTTAAAAACGGGAACACTTGCTGCTCTCATTTCTTCACAACACTCCAATGGAACAGAGATGTGTTGACTTTGGTACTGTACACAGCTTCCTTTCTCCAGGCTAAGCAGCACCATTGGAGTTGCAAGCTCTGACATTCTCCTATCAAGTTACAGCAACTCCAGCAACTATTTTAATGTTTCCAAGCATGCCCAAAAATCCCCTTCTCCGAAATAATCACACATTTTTTTAGCAACACTAGCACAGGATTGAAGTATTCACAAACAGATATTACTTCATGAGACTTAGAAGTTCCAACAGATGCATACTTATTTTTCCCTGGTGCTCAAGTCTGAAATCCATGATCTGTATCTAATGGTTTGATCTAATTCAATAGAATTTACAAGCTCCAAAGAAATCAACTATATTTTCTCTGAACACCTATAAAATATATTTATCTATAAAGTTACCTTAGCCATAGCTATCGATAAAAGCATTAGGGATAGCCATATGACTATGCTTGGTACCAATACTAACTGTAAGATTTGAGGTCAAGCTGATTTAAAAGATTGGTGCTTTCTGTTTTAAAGGTTGCACGTTAATTGTGCTAGTGAATATAATGGGAGACTCAAAATTACTACTCAGGGAATTCATCCTTTGCAGAATGCCCTTCTACATGCAAGACTGTGAAAGTATTGTCAGTGAAAATCAGCATTTGGCTTTCTGAGGAATGGGACTTACAAAAAACACACAAGTTGACTACCCAGAACAATGAGCCAAAAACTTTGCAAGAGAGTACAGACAGAGGAGTATGACTTAATTCTGTCAACATACTGTGTATTGAAAAATACAGAACATACTGTAAAGTATATTAACATTGTATATATACTTGAAATCTGAGTAAGTGTAAAAAGTAATCTCTTGCAGAGTAGAACTACGATAAATCACTTTCTAATTTCCAAAGGATTACAAATGTAAAGCTGCTTCCATTCCTCTGTATCAAACATGCAAAAAGATCACTTCCTGTTATCTGTGATAAACTAGACAAGGAATTGCACCTCCTGTTTTGCTTAGTACACACTGGTCATATTGACTGCAATTTCATTACAGGTTTGTTCCTTTCATTTGCTTTGTAAGATGAGTAACACCAAAACCAACAGAATCAAGACTCTTGTCTCCAGCACCATCAGCAGGCAGGGAAAGCTTTCAGTAAAGAACTGACTTGACTGTAGAGTCAAGAATGATTCAAGTTTCACTAAGTTTTCACTTCTGAGCAGGACAACAAAAGCTTCTATTTGTTCCCTTTCTGTCCTTGTCCAGTAAAAAACTTCACCCAAGATGAAGTATGGAAGTAACCAGAATAAAACAAACAAAGAGTCATTGTTTGTTAATCTATTTCAAAAGAATTCACTATCCACCATAAATTGACAAGCAAACTTTGACAGGTAGATACATTTTTAGAAGACAGTCAAGGATTTGCTGAAGTATTTTAAACAGACATGTTAATTAGTATGGTTAATAAATTACAGGGAGAGATAATTTTTCAGTTCAATATAGCATTTCCTATTCACTTGCTAGTTCTACCAGTATACAAGAAATTGAGTCTGCCTACAATAAAATGAGAAGTCTTGTGGAAAATGACATAATAATAATAATGTTGTAGTAATAGTGTTTAAAACAGTTTCTTCCATCCTATAAGAACTGGAAATTTAAAACTAGGATTCAGATCTTTCAGATCTTAGAAATCCTCATAAAAGAGAGGAGAGGGAGGAAGTCTGTATATATTTTAAGAAGCTTCACACCACAGCACTAAGTCTGTACTCACTAACAGACAAGAGAACAATTCACTTGCTCAAAAAAGTAATCCCTCACAAGGCCATCAAGAAAAATGCAGAGTAACCCATTTGTTAAACACTAGAAAGACAGATTAAAACAACCCACAACTTAAATTTTCTTACATTGTAGATACAAGACAGATGTTAATTTCTTGAATGTTGTTGAACTCTCTTACAATTCTCATCCTATCTTCTGATTTTGTATTTCCATCAAGTCTTCGATAATCCAACCCAGATGCCATGCAGTACTGTTCCAGCACATCCAGCAACTGAGCGGAAAAATGAAGGGGAAAAAAATTATTTACTTAATACTACCTTTTTAATTAAACATGATCACAGAGGCCATGATTATCAAATATATTTTCAATGGACCAAACACTGCAAATGAGACTAAATCTTCACCATTTTGGTAACAACATCCATGACTCTCTTTAGCCATGATTCTACAGCACTCAAGGTGATTAATACTCGTCTGCTGCAGCCTCGCTCCACCCTCCAGCCCTGTTTCACCTCTGTCACTCAATTAGTTCAACCCAAGAAGCAGGCAGGGAACAGCTTCCTCTCATCTCAGCAAGTTGGAATTACTTGAAATACAGTAAAGGAGCACTGGAGCCAGAACAGAGTACAGAGTCAGGGTCCAGGGGCACGGAGAGAAAGAGACTGTAGTAACCAGGAGCCAGTCTGGTAGCAAACATGATAAAGCACAGTCTGAGACATACGAGTTCTTTACTGGTGCATCTAAACATTAAACTTGCTTTCCATCTTAAAGCCCAAAAACATTAAATATTTAAGACTTTGAACTATCATTCAAACTGCTATTTCTTAAAAAATACTTTTTAGTGCTATCATTACAAATATTTAAATAAAGAAAATGATACAATAGAGTGTAGGGTTTCAGGAAACATATTACTCCCTAACAAGAAAATCAAGGAGTAAGTCCCTTAAAAGAGAAATGTACATATACCTCTTGCTCCAATTAAACACTGTTTTAAATTCAAATCAACTGGTGCTGCAGGTTTCAGGATTGAAGTTTCATTGCTGCTGATGGTCAAAAGTCAGCAGAATGGGGGAAATTTAACAACCTTCAATGCTAGTACAAACATTTTATGATATTGCAGTCATACTGTGCTGTGACACCACTCTAACTCAAGACACAGAAACAAAACTCAGCTTTCTACAGCCAAAGGAACACAACAATTTTTAAAAGCTCTAAGAAGACAGAAGGGTGTTATATTTGCTTTGCCATCACCATTTTTATCAAGAGATAACATAAGGTTTCAATACACTTCCGGAGTACAGCACACTGTCCTCAGAACTCCTTCCCAACCAAATATGGTTGACAGGTGTCACTTCAGTGCTTCACACTTCAGAACTCACTGCTGCAGTTAATTGAGGTAAATCATATGGAACTCACCTTTGTGGAAAAGGAGAAAAGAAGAACTTTATCCTTATTTTTTCGGAAGTGATTTAAAAGCTGCTGCAGGACCTGTAAATGACCCAGAGCACACAAATGAAGAGATTTTTATCCACAAGTCATCTCATGAACACTTACTGATGGTTTCAACCTCTAAATAGGGCACACTGTAATTATTAGCAAAGCCAAACAGAGGCATAACAAAAATCATTACCAACATAATAAAATGTGCCAAAGGTAATGGAGATGCTGGACCTTTTCATTTTTCAGTGATCTTTCTTGCCATGAAAAGGTCATCAGACCACTAAGAGGTAAATTCAGAGCCTATTCATGACAGCGCACAGATTGCAACAAAAAGTTCCTTATGTCACACGTGGATCAGACTGTGAGTTCTTGTATTTAAAAAATGCACACGTTTATCCTGAAAAGTCGAAGGTCTGTTTAAATTTTCTGTCCTACATCTGAGTTTAGAACTTCTTACAACTTGTCTTCTTAAAATAATCAGTGAGCTGTGTGCCCCTCCCCACTCCCACTCTCATCTGTTGCTCTGTTTACAGTAGGATCCAGCTTCCCAGACTCTGCACAGCCCTTGACACGCCAATAATCCGCCCACACACGACGTTCTGCTGGGGGGGGAAGCAAAAAATCCAGAGCCTTGTGTATAATAGTGATACTGTTATTTTCAAAAGAAGTATGTCCACATCTGGCAATGGCAGCTCCAGAGCACTGTGTAGAAGTCATACACAATAGGGAAAAGAGGAATTTTCTCTACCATGACTGCAGCTTTCTCCCACTAGGCAATAAATGTTTAAAAAATTATATTTATTTACAGATAAATACATAAACTTTTAATCAACACTGATTTCACTAAAACCCTAACAAATCTTTTGACAACCAAATAGCAATGAATGTTTATACTAACTTTGCAATTCTGGATAATATCTAGAACAAAACCCAGAAATTATTCGTCACTTAGTATATGTTATCCAGCTGTTAGAAGTGAAAACAAGGTAAAAATTAGAGATTTTTTTTTGGTCTGGTTTCATTGTACATGAACATATAAACTAGGACTTCTTTTACTTGAGAAAAAAAAATCCACAAAGGACAGCTTAACAAGAGCTATGCTACTTAAATTTGCATTTTATTTAGCCACATTGAGAAAAGAAAACAGAACAAAAACAGTAACATTCTTTTAAAGGAGAAGGCATTGGCTACTGTGTTTTTGTTATTATAAAAGTACAGGTCAAATCTTGACTTTCCTATACAAGAAGACAAAAACAAATCCACACAGTTTGCTTAAATAAAGTGGATCCATTTCATCCCCATTGGGAATTTAGGTATCCTGGAGTCAAGAACAACTCTTAACAGGGAAAAGTAATGAATGTTTTTGCACCAAAGAGAAATAAATTCTACACTTGTGCACCAGAGTATTATCCTGTATGGTGTTAGTCTAAACCAGAAATATTTGGTCATACTCAAGCAAAAGGAAGAATTCTTTATAAGAGTTCACATGGATTTAAACATGTCTCCCCATTGCTACACATTGTTAGTTGTCTGTGTGTGATGAAATGTTACCTCTGGTTTTTAAGAATATCTTTTTTGTATACAGCTGTTCAAGTTAGCCTACAGTATTTTAAAGGCTTCAAAGCCATGCCTGCCTGGGTGGGAATTATGTTTAATGGAGGAAGCTATCATTATTTGCAAAGTGCTCCAATAGACTTTTATTTTCCTACTGAAATAATGATAATATGCCAAGCAAAAATTATTAAATCAACTCAGCAGTTATTCCTGAGAGATTTGTATTAATTAAGAACAGTAGTCCATAACCCCAAAAATGATGTGTGTGCAAACATTATACGTGCAGTTTAAATAAAAAAAAAGTTATTTTAAGTGCCTAGGCATTTAATAGCCCTTTACACTTAAAATGCTAGTAGAGCCTCTCTGAGCCAGAATTTTAACAAAACCATAGAAATAATCAGACAAAGTAGTAATGAGAAATACTGCAGGCTTGTAAAGCTATGCTCACTCATCTTCTTTTCCAAGCAGTCCCTAATACTTCTGTGTGAACAACCTGCAAAGAAAAAGCTATGTTTCCTATGTGTTCTATCTCTGCTGGCTTCGAGAATAACAGATACTTTAAGCAGATAGATTAACCTGTTCAACTCTTCAAAACAGTTGCAGCAGCTTAGCTAATAAACTTCATTAAAAATCCAAACCTTTCCCTGAATAAATTTTAAAAAAATGTCAAAAACCTTGCAACTATGCTCATTTACAAAAGAGTAATCGTCTGTACCAAAATTTCTGTGTAGTTTGTACTAAATTTTAATTTAAAAGCCTAAGTAATATCTATTCAGTCTACACTACTAGATGAAAGTTACAAAAGAATTTCAAGTAGTTTCTAGAATTTATTTATGAAACAGAAAATATAAAGTACTACAGTGTGACAAGGTTATTAAAAACATTTTACTATCATTTGTCTCAGTTATTTCCAAACAAACATGTTACAAATTGACAAAGTAGTTTTCAAGCTCTAGTGTCTATTGACTCTCCTGTGATTACCTTCTCATGGTAAGAGGACTTTCTAAATTAAATACTTCCTGAATGACTTTGCTTCCACAGCATAAAACCCGAAATCATCACCAACAGCCTCCTTTTTAAAATTTAGAATAGTAAACAAAACAGCAAGTCAGACATTTATGATCTAGTTTTTGGCATCATCATTATTCTGAAGTCAAAATTAATGGACTAAAACCCAGCTGATTTTTCAATATGGCTACAGAGCCCATTACATAAAACTCCTCCTTCCAGGTACAAAGATCACGGAGTCATAGAATGCTGTGGGTTGGGAAGGACCTTAAAGATCATCCAGTTTCAAACCACACCACCATGGATGGGCAGGGATGCCACCTATTAGACTCAGGGTCCCATCCAGCCTGGCCTTGCACATTTCCAGGGATGGGGCATCCACAACTTCTCTGGGAAACCTGTTCCAGCGCCGCACTACTCTGAGAATAACGAATTTCCTTCTACTATCTAACGTAAACCTACTCTCTCTTCCAGTTTGAAGCCATTACCCCCTTCCCTATTACTGCAGAAGATCTGCCTCCAGCTTTCTTTAGGTTCCCTTCAGGTACTCAAAGGTGGCAGTAAGGTCACCCTAACAGCCTTCTCTTCTCCAGGCTGAGCACCCTCAATTCTCTCAGCCTTTCCTTGTAGGAGTGTTGCTTCATCCCCCTAATTATCTTCATGGCCCTCCTCTGGATTCGCTCCAACAGGTCCATGTACTTTTTGTGCTGTGAAGCTGGACACAAGAATGGAGTAAAGGGGGAGAATCATCTCCCCTGACCTGCTGGACACATCTCTTTTGATGCAGCCCAGGACATGTTCAGCTTTCCATGCCAGCTCACATCCAGGCTCTCACCTCCCAGCACCCCCAGGTCCTGCTCGGCAGGGCTGCTCCGACCCAGGTGCCACAAACTTGCTGAGGGTGCACTCAATCCCCTCATGGAGATCCTTAGCCCACGACTGGGCTGAACACTGATTCCTGGGGGACCACCAGTGACCAGACACCAATTGGATGTAACTCCATTCACCACCAGTATCTGGGCCAGCCAGCCAGCCAGTCTTTAACCCAGCAAAGAATGTGCCTCTCCAAGCCACAGGCTGCCAGCTTTTCCAGGAGAAAGCCATGCAAGATTAAAAAAAAATAAAATATATATATATATAAAAAATAATAACATGAGCAATACCATGGGAGAATAACCAGTAACAGAATTGCTTCATAAGAACTACTGAAGATCATGGACTTTGTTTTTAGACCTATGTATTAAATATTTGCATTGTTAAAAATTTAACAACTATGTTCATTTTCATGAGATAATAAGTGTATACAACAAAGTTAGCGTGCGGGTATCTCACACATATGTAATAATAGTAAAGAAAGGTGTTGCTTGCATAATAACAAATCAATGAAGTGGTAATAGCCATTACTGTTACAACAATGTGGTCTTCCCAACTGCCACCAGTCCCAAACAAAAACTGTGAATAACCAGGCTTATAGAGAGCAAAAATCCTGCACAGCTTCTAATTTCTCAGTTACTCTCAGCCCAGGAACACTCCTAAAACTAGTATGGGTTTCTTTTTAGTAGGGTACCTCAGACTTCTTTTTAACTTGCATTAGACATCATTAAACATCTTTTGTTCCTCTCTGAAACCAGAGCAAGACAGTTTCTGAGGTAAGGTGTTTTACAGATTCATACTTGACACATTTATTTTAGTCAACTTTAGCAGGACTTCTATTATTTTCATTTAATGTCCATAATGTCCAAGAGTTCAAAAAGTCAGTAAGCATTCAGTACACCTTTACCAGATTCATACTACTTATGATTGTGTAGGTCCCTGTAATAGAGAGAGATCCAGCTACAACAACTCCAGCTACGACTGCTGCATTGAAGAGGAGAGACACTGCTGCCCTGAACACAGAAAGGATCCTTCCTTCTTCCCTTCTGGACTTTTATTGGAGGGAAAAGAGATTTAATCCAATGTAAATATTGCTTTACCATAGGAGAGATAGTTAGGATTATGTATATAATGTATTACAACATTTATTTGTGTAATAATTGTAATATAATTCCCTTCCCCCCATATTGAGTCTTGTGTCTGGAAAACCCCTCTCACACTGGGGTGAGTTGTGGGAGGGGGGCTTGGACTTGGAAATTGGATTTTTGGGGGTCTCAAACCACCACAGTCCCGCTCACATTCATCCTTAAGACATTATTTTCAGGCTGGAGAGTCTCAGCCTACTTGGCTGCTTCTGACCCACAGTTACTAATCACCTTTGTGGCCCTTCTCTGAACCTTCTTCTGAACATTTTCAAGGTCTAACACATGCTTTTTGAGAGGAGGGACTGGAAGTACACACAATACTGAAGGTATGCACTAATTATTAAGTCCATAATGATTTTGTTTTGCTCTCTTTTCTTTCCCAAGTATCCCCAACTGCCACTGGAATCCATGGTTTCATGAACCAACAATTCTGTTGACTGCAAGAGTAGTTTCCATGACCACCATTAAACATGAAGCTAACATCTCCAAATATCTTATCCAGTCTTTGCCCAGATGTATCCTGATCCATGACAGCAGATACCTGCTGTGGTATGACCAACCACAAATAGAATGATTAAAACCCCCACAACTATTAGGTGCACATTTTCTTACATCCATACACTATAGCACACACGTATTACTATTAATAATACTTATTTTTCTTCTAAGGAATGGGTTTACCTTCATTTTTCCACTGTATTTTGGATCCGAAATGGTTTCAAAGGCTGCATCTTTGCTTAACTGCACAAAATCTGGAAAACTGGAAAATACCTGGCTGCAAACTCGTTTGATATGTGCTTCCTGGAAGAAAAGCAGAAAGACTGAATAGATCTTAAAAATTAGAGCTATATTGGGATACCAGTAAGCCATACAAGGAGTTAAACAGGTTGAAATGTGATCTCCAAACTATCTCAAGAAGAGTTATGTGTGCTTTTATTCAGTTCACTACAAAACTACTGCATAAACTACCCCCTGTGTGCTTTGCTTTACTTCATTTAAAAACAAAAGAGATTGCTAATCTGAAACCATGGATTGTAGCTACTAGAGTAAAAGATGCTCAAAGTTTCTTCTCCTGGCCAAAAACTGCAATAGGACTGGCCAGAACTGTCAGTCTCAAAAAATTCTGTTGCCTTCAGTTTTGCATTACCCAACAGTTTTGTACCAGCATTTCTCTTGACCCACTGGCACAATAAGCCAACATGGGAATTACATATTGTTCCACTGATACAACAAAAAACTGCATGGGAAGTGCATTTAAACTGTAAGAGCCACATAAAGCTCCACTGCTAGAATTTAGGTCTGAACTTGAACATAACCTCACACGTATTTATGTCCACCTTTCCAGAGAGAAAGAAAAGATCACATATCTCACCTAAAATATGAAACTTGGACTTTAATACTAAAAGTAATACAAAAACATGGACTTTAATACTAAAAGTAAGAAATACTACAAAGTATCGGTTTCTTCAATGGATTTTGGTAGTTAATAATTATGAATGGTGTGATAGATTAAATCAAAAATACTTGTGTTATTTCAGAGGTTATTTAAACCCCAAATGTTATTACAATAAAAAACTACATATGGAATACAGAAAAGAAGCCCACTGAAAACACTTGGGTACATACCGTATATAAAGCCCTGGACAGTCAGAGTGACATTTCCTAAAAAGTAAAACTGCTTCAATGGAACAAATTTGCAAAATAAGTTGGGATACTTGATTTCTCTTCCTCAGTGGCTTCTGAGAGAAAGTGGTAACATTCCTAAATCCCAGTGTCCATTCCTGGATCTTAGGGATCACATCCAAGCATTTCTAAAAACTCTACTGGTTTGTGGGTCTTGTAGGTGACTTGCCACAGTAACAAGATAAACTGATAGTGATGTCTCATTGAGTATTTTCTTCTAAAGCATGTTTCTCATCATTTAAACAAAATCAGTTCTTAATATAAAGTACTAGAGAAAAAAAGTGCACCCTAATTGCCTATTATTTATTTATTTGCACAAAGTCATTCCTCTTATCAGCACTCATCATAAATGTAAAAGAAATGGCACTATTAGAAATCACTAAAAATTACTCTCCCTCCTAATCTCTCTGATGTTTCTATAACCCTTATTTTCAGATATGCATCAACTAAATGAATATGCTGTTTTGTATGATGCCTTTAAAAGGTTTGCATTCTGAACTGCTGAATGGAAAAGGAATTTTGCAAAATATCTTAACTGCAGTTAGTTAAGACTTCAGAAGGTCAGAAAAAATTTTCATTCGAGAGTTTTCATTCCATTTTTCACAAGATACTTCTGAGACTAACCTGTTGCTTGCTCGTGTTGTCTGTCTGCAGCAGTGCAGCATGATTGGCAACCTTCTGCAGGATCGTCAGGTAACTGAAGCGCAGAGACTTAATTGTTTCACCATGTGCATTTACCTACAAATAAAAAAGTTTACGTGAACAAATACTCCTGAAAATAAGTAATGATCTAAAATAAATACTATTCTTACCAGGTTTAACGCATTAACAGTTCTAAGTAGAACTATAATTGAACCCAAAGAGCTGTGTACTATATTTTTAATAAAAAAGAAGCAAGTTCGGGGTGTTCTTCCCATCAGCTTTGTGATCCTACTTATAGAAACACCTTCTCAAACAGAAAAAACCCTACAGCTACGTGCATAGTTTGCTAAACATTTCAGATAGTAATTTCTGTCGATATCACACTAAGATAGTCAAGAACTGCTCAGTAGACAAAAAGATGGTAACTTTACACCTGACTTAAATGTAAATCAAACCAGAGCTGTTTCAATGACTTCTTACTCTACAGCTCCTAACTTCACTTTTCTCTACAGCAAAAATATAAGTTTTTGAACATAATTCAAGCTTCAAACATTCATTTACAACACAGCAGCAGCTACTGCATCAGCTATTTTTCTGGCTACGACTGGCTGATTTCGATCAATATTTGTTCTCCTTTCCCTTCTCAAGTTACTAAATTTCATGGTTAACTTCGGAAGAAGACAGTCCATAACATCACTTAACTATCTGCAGGCCTGCCTACTGCCCTTTGTGAATCAAGTTCAACAGCATTTTGATTTTTCTACAAAACATACAAGAAAGAGAAGCCTGCAAAAGAAGATTGGTATCCACAGAATATTAAACAGACTGATAGGGGGATTGTGCATAAAGAAAGATTTGGAAGACTGAACAAGCTACATCCTTTGGAAAAAAACCCAAAACACTGACCAAGAATCAGAACAAGTCAGAAAGAAAACAGGGAGGAGCAAGTATGAGACATGTGTTTCTAAATGTTTAAAAGAGGTGCTTTATCTGAGCCTTCTGAGTGATGTGGGTAAAGCAGATACACAGCCAGACTAATGCAGTATTGAAGAAGTCCAGAGAAGATTGAAGAAATCTTCAAAGCTGTTACTAGTGGACAAAGTTGAGATTGCGCTCTCTGGTTGCTGTTACAGTTCTCCCTTCAATGAAGCAAAACCAAGTGCATTTTTAATGGCACAGAAAGACACAATCCAGCTGAAGTTAGAAAACAAGCAAAGCCCAGACAACCTGCTGTGTTCAGGATGTCTCCCATTTTCAGTTCTGCACAGACCACCTGAGGCACAGGGGAGCAGCATGTCTGACACATATTGAACATCCTAAGGAAGTACCCTTGTGTCAGAGACTGAAATGGTTAATGAATTATGCATTCTAGGAGACTTTTGCAGGCTTTTGACTTGCATGATACCTCTGATGAGCAATCAGGCCCCTCCCTCCCTCCAGTGCTGAAGGTGTGAAGCCCTGAAAAGGCAAGAAGCCGAGTAAGCTTTTGACTGTTGATACATCTGCTGAGCAATCAGGCCCCTCCCTCCCTCTGCTAATCTTGAAAGGCAGGAACCAGGCGAGATACAAAAAACTCAGCACAGACCCAGGAGACGTTGGAGGCTCAAGGCATGGCCCATGACACTAATCATGGCTATAACTCATAATTTCTTGGAGTGTGGGGGCTTCCCTCCTTCACCCCCGGCAGATCAAGGCCACCACTTCAACTGACAGACATGGAAGCATCGCTGGACCCCGTGGGCGGTGACTATATACATCTGTCCGCTCTCAGCTTTTCTTTCCCTTACTCTCCCTTGCTCTTATCCTGCCTTTCTCTCCCCTATGCATTTTCTTTCCCCCCCCAAAGGTTATCTCTGTGTCACACTGTTGTATGACAGCACCCAAACTGCTAGCATGCCTGTTGATACAGAATTGTTAAAATAAACCTTGCCAGTATATGTTTTCAGACACCGATTATTCAGTGTTGTTTCACTCTAACCCACCCCAAGGGAATTATTGATAAAAACCTGGGTTACCCCCCTCCCTTTTTCTGGGGCGGGTCGTAACACCTTGCCAATACCAACTGTATCACAGGGGCACTTATTAATACAACAGATCCAGAATGCACTGCATAAATAACAGCCACCTGCTCAAGGCACACCAAGAAGCTTCGCAGTATCCCAAAGTGCCTAACTCCACCACATTTGTGATGCCACCCATGTTTCCCAGTTGGGATTTCCCAAACAGATGGCCTACAACCAGGCAGACATTTCAATGAGCTCTTCATCAGCAGAGTCCCTCAAAAATTCCAGAAGGCTCTGCTCTAAAATCCAAACAGTGCAAATTCTTACTCTGTAACAACAGTTCTTCCTTTTCCGGCCACTGTTGCAGCTACAGGGCTCTCCTGCTCGTAACACCAAGGTTACATCATCTGTCTCCAGCACAGCCTGGTAGACAGCTTTCTGGAATTCAGTCAGGGAACAATACACCATCTGCCAAAGAGAAAACCCGAGAAACACTATTATGTGCAATGAAAAGCAAAAAAAGCATTGCATCAAAGAACAAAAATCACAGATCACTGAAAATAGAAATAAATACTACAGTTGCTCAAATAGTTACAGGAAATTATCATACCACCAAAAGAAAAATACGTGGATCTTGACAACAAAAGAGCATGGAATTGTAACCAAAGTGTATGTATGCTTATCTTATTCCCTCCCAAAAGTCTACAAAGAGTATCAGTGTCAAGCTACAAGAACCTGCTGTTAAGTTTCTCAAAACCTTTCAGTACAGCTTTTGTGAAGGAAAAGGAAGGACGGAAAAGTGAAATACATGCATAACTTTAATTACAGATTCCCCTCTGCTTTGCAAGGTGCATAATTTGCCCTTTCTTTCCCTTTTTTAGGCACTAGCTATTGTGGGGCACTACCACAAGCAGGACAAATGGAATAAGCACTGACAAGGGAAGGATCTACACAGTGCTGTGGCCAAAACTCTGATCCCTCTTCTTAGAGACCATGGGTGGCATCTCCGTGACGTCTTTAGTCTTAAGCAGCAGGAGATAGAAATCCCAAGATCATTCCTTAACCTGTGCTACCCACACAGCAGCAGCACCATGCTGAGCTGTAATAATACAGCAGTAACTTAAACATATACTCACATTAACAAGATAATGAAAAGAATAAAACCTGCTAGATTCAGAAAAGCAACTGACTGATGTTTGTGTTAATCTTTCCTTCAGAAGACAGCTTAGATGACATTATTATAAACTATGGATGAAGACTAAATACCAAATTTTGAAAACAAAACCACCTGCAAATTTATATATTTCTCTACTTAGAAGGAAAGGTTTATCAGAACTCTTAGCTATATTAATAAAGTATTATCACTTCATATAATATTTACAATTGCACTAGATGAACAGGATTACATATTTATCATAGAATCAGCTTTATGTCTGAGGTTTTTCTCTTATTTAGGGATTGAAAATGAGGGAGCTAAAAGCTCACTATTCCACACACAAAGTGTCAAGCTGCAAATTCCGAAGTTCAACATAGAATTTCAGAGATTTACATACATTGCTTTGGGTTTGCACAGATAAGTACAAAAACACACTTAGAACAAATGTATAAATCACTAGTCAGAAGACTAGTTGAGCATTTTCAGCTTAACTAACTCCTTTTCAACATGCAATCATATAATTCCATGAACAAAGCACACTATGGCAAGTGCATCTCTTCCAAGGCTATGGATTCTTCTGAAGTTCATAAGACAAAAGGAAACCATAAACTACTACAGACACGATTAAAGAGAGAAAATACAACAGGAAAACAAAAAAGAAGAGATACATTCATTAGCACTGCATTTGAAGTGTGAAGGCACTCTTACTCTGTCTTCCTTTTTTGGTAGCTGGTCACTGATGAGTGCTTTGGTGCGTCTCAGGAACCAGCCAGACATTTTTCTTGCCAGTTTCACCATGGCTTTCCGGCCTGTTGCCAGCTCTCTTTTAGTTGCAGTGTGCCTCTGGCCATGCTCCACTGGGTCAGAAAACGTCTTCTTGAAATCTGCTCTGCTACCTAGAAGTCCTGGTACAGCCCTATTAAAAAACAAAAGGGGGGACTGAAACAGGAGGCCAGGACCAAAAGAGTTAACTGAGAAATTTGGGCCTGCTAACAAACCCAATACCTGTGTTGCTGGAAGAACATTTTAGGAGCACTGGTTAATCTCATGTTCTCTTCTGATCACTGGACCAAAGGCCTTATTATAGAAAGAATAGGAGTAGTACACACACAGTAATAAATTAGGTAAACCAGACCTTTGAATAAGATCTAGAAGGCCCAGAGCCAGGATTATGCAAGCTTGAAGAATTCAGGTCACCTCACTGAAGAGGTCAAACTGAGGAAGACGTCCATGGTGACCACCAGAGGGATGAAGGCTTGAGGAGAAGACCCCACAGTAGAAGACTGGGCATGTCTGGAAAGACTCTGCCCAGAGACCAGCCTGCTTATTAATATGTATAATAAATGGTGTAACCATGGATCTAAAGTGTATAAAATGGCTTAGTTTTGCTCTTTCAAGTCGAGCAAGTTTGTCCAGCACGAGCTGGCTTGCTCCCAACATTGAATAAACAAATACCTTGCTGTTTAAAGATAAAAAAATGTCTCTGAGCAGTTTCTTGGACTGATTTTTCAGATCCATGGGGTTGATTTACTGATTGAAAGCATATAGTAATTTTTTTTTCTGGCTAACAGCAAGAGATCTTAAATTAACAATCACTAGAGAAAATACTAAAAATTGTATGTGCAAATAGAAACATATACTACTTTCAGACATGCCACTTCTCATTTGTTTTCTGTGACTCTCATGTGCTGAGAATACCCCTTAGAAAAAGGTTTGCAATTTCCAGAAAAGCAAAAGCTTAGCAGACCAACAGAACCTCTAAACTACAAGGCTGCTACCATCCAGAGCCTAAACTGGAAGCTAAACAGTCATGTTTTCAAATTTTACCATTTTTATTAAATCAGATTATGCAGATATTACAGTCTACTAAATAAAATCCTGAGAAACCCAACAGTAAAAAGAATTTAGTAATCCTTGGCAGCACTACATATTGGAACAATCTATTAACAACACAAGCATAGCTTCAGTGGACCAGATGCAATACTTAAGTTTAAAGTATTTTTCCTGCTATTTCTGCTCTGTATATCCTTATATTTAAAGTATGTCTGCTTTGTTCCTCCTCTATAAAGCACTGCCAGTAAGTCTTCTCTGTTTAGGTTTTTATTTACAGTTAGTTGCACTTCTCCTTCTCCATTAAAAGTTTTTCTGGATAAGACCATTGCTTTGTAAATAAGTGCATTTGTGCACTTTGAAAAACATCAAAACAGTTTTGTATTCATCCTCCAAGCAGGTCAGAATGACCTGCACATATTGGACAGAGCAAAGGCACAATGTTGGTTAAGGTTCTGTAATGATTTCCTCTCTACTGGGCAAAGGACAGAAGACATAAAAAGCGTCCATAAGAAAAAAAAAAAGGTAAATGTGGTGGGTGGGGGAAGAATCTTTTTAACTGCTTCCCACATTTCCCAAAGAAGCCAGTTGTGAGGAGCTCCAAATGTATTAAATAACTGGAAAATTCATACTGAGGGCTCACCTTCACAGTTGCATTAAAAAAAACACAGTTACATTCTCACAAAACATCCGGGGGTTTGAGGCGGATGTTGTGGTTTGTTTTTGTTTGTTTTATGACACAGATGGGACCATATCATCCAGTTCTACCCCATTCCCACTGCACAGTTAGCATATAGAGGTGTTTAACCATTAAAAAAAAATAAATTACTTACCAGTCCATGACACACCAAAGTTCTTTCATATTGTTCTGAAGAATGGTTCCAGTAAGACCTATACGAACACTGCATTTTAATGACTTCATGGTTTGAGTTATTTGAGCCTTTGGATTCTTGATTCTGTGTGCTTCATCCACTATCACAGCAGACCATTTTACACTGCAGATCAAAAAAACCATTTTATTAAGTGACATTTCTTATCCTGTCATCCCACATACATAACAAAAGTGAAGGCAGACGCACAAGAGGCCGCGATCATTATAACACATTATTACTTTTTTATTTCCCTGTTTCATATTGTACTATATTATTCAGTTTCTTTATATTCTGTTTGTTTAGTAAAATTGATTGCCATAGTTGAATATAGCAGAATATAACAGCTGAACTACACAGCCAAATAAATGAAGTATTGTTAACTGTATCGAATGCTTTCTGTGAAGAAAACAGATTTCAATCTCTGGAGCAATGAAGGTAGCACATCTCCCCAATATTAGCTCTGCTCATAATTATGATTTACAAAAAATAAATAAGTCCCTGAACATGAACTACTGAAACATGCTTCATCTTCCCAACAAAAACTATCCAGCATAACTAGCAGTTGGCTGAAAACATTTCTATGTGTGTGGTTTTCTACAAGAAAGCAACCCAGTCAAGAATATCTACATGCTACCAATATGGCAGAGGAATTTCAATATTTTGTGACTGTGACTAGAAGGAACATATCTAGAGGCAGTCACCAACAGATATTTTGCAGCCAGTTCAAGCACAAAACTTAAGGGTAGAATGAGCTGTACAGAATTATACTAATTTAAGCCATCAAGTCCCTATGAGGGAATTTATTATGAGTTCACTTTACATATATGAGTGAATATTTCAGAACACAATATTCAGTTTGATGATCCTTCAAGGCTATAAAAAACTGAAACAGACATGTTTAGTAGAAAGCCTCTATCCTGAGCAGGCTGCATTTAGCTAATCTCAAGGCTCTTGTGAAATTTTTGATACCCACTAAATACATTCATTCATATCAGAGTTCCTAAAACATACTAAAAATTGGACTTTCTGAAAGGAGCTTAACAGAAATCCATAGGTTAGCTCCTTCCACCTAATCTCTCATTATGCTGATTTACAGGCATAACTGAGCATATGTATTCTTATCAGTGATAGCTAATTTTTTAAGAGCAGTTTTTGAGGCCAATCCATCACTGTAGCTAAGCAAGACATGGCTTCACAGACCAGAAACAGTTTGGTAAACCAGCGAGCTGAAGCAAAGGATTTGCAGGCAGTCACACATCAGGTCTGCTCTGCACGTGCACCTATTTCCTGACCAAGCTTGAAGAGACTCTCGAAGACAACACAAAGATTCAGGGTACTACTGACAAAATTAATTTGCTCTTCTATCTGCACTTCTCAGACCTTAGCACAGAGATGAAGATCTGATTGTTTTGGTGATGGCTGTCCAGACAACTGGGGCACTCTCTGGGGCCTGAACCTTTCCCAACACCTGAAACAAGATTGCCAGATCCACTGACAACTTCAGCTGCTGAGAGCAGGCTGCTACTATAAATTGTACTCTACTTCCAAGACAAAATAAGGGAAAAGGACTTCTAGGATCAGATAAGAAATGTGTGGGTTTAAATCTCAAAGTTTTTAGGACTCAAGAATTTCATCAAGTTGGTGAAAAGTGCAAATAACAAGGAAAATACCTTTTTGGACATTTGCTAAAAATTCCAGGGTTTTGGTATCCTTACACTGTATTGAAAGGTAGAAATATTTTCTATGTGTCTTTTAGTTGTCACCAGTTTTCAGGCAGGCAATTCCTGCATCTTTTAGAGAACATGTCATAAGTGTGCTAAAAGCAAAGACTAGCTTCATGGAAACTATTCAAATGCTTACTGCCACCAAGTATCCCACCACAAAGATATTACAGGCTACAGTCACCGAACAGAGTTAAATGGGATTCTTCTCTTCAGCACAGTGAGTTACTGGATTTAACAGTGTAATGTAAATACATTACACAGAAAAAGTACTTGCAAAGAACAAGGCACGATTAGTTAAAATTCTATGTGTAGAAAAACACATTAAAACTATTACCTGTTAAATTCATCCAAATACAGGCGAAGTATCTCGTATGTTGTAAGAGCAACTTCATATTTCCCTTGCTTGATGCGACTCATGTCATCATCTTTTTTACTGCCATGTAAGACAGAGACCTTAAAGTATCCCCATGTGTCTAACTCATCCTTCCAGTTGTACAGCACTGAAAGAGGGGCCACTATGAGGAAAGTCTGAAAACAAATATGTATTACAGTATTACTTGAAAAACCACAACATAGCACTTTCTAAACAAGGAAAGTCAAAATCTCAAGATTTATTTTACTGCTTTGAACAGTTTCAACTGTTTAATTCTGTCACTTCAAACATAGCATGGAAAATATTTGAACAGTTAATACAAATTTAAAAGTAATCAGTTTATTCTGAGTACATAAATAGTACAGAAGAAAATACCGTAACACTAAAATGAAATACCAAACAGCACTACTTACTCAAATTATACTTTAACAACTGCAGTAAGATGTGAAACACTATCACTTTGCTTTGTTATACCATCTGTATACCATAAACTGTTTTACAGATGAGAAAACAAAAAGATGAAGTCTAGCCATCCACAACTCTAGCGATTATATGACTTCAAAACAAAAAGATCTGAAAAGGGTTTAAAAACTTAAGACAGCTCATACAATTCACTTCATATCATAGAATAATAAAATCAATGAGGAAGGAAGTAAAGGTTTTAGTCCACCTTTACAGTCAAAGCAGGGGCAACACTGAATTCAAACCAGAGCTTTCCCAACTCAGGTCTTCAAAACCCCACAAGGATGGGTGGGGTCCATCCTATGACCTGTTTCAACATTACATGTTCTCAAAATGACATTCTTCTCTTACTCCCAGACAGCAGCATTCCTGTTTCTCTGCACATGAAGTGCTATCCCTTCACCTCTTCCTCTTTGCCTGTATTTCCTGAGGAACATGTATCCATTATTCAGCTTAGTCGTATGACTCATTATGCCAGTCAAATTCTCTAATTATTCCAATAAAATAAAAACAGAAAAAAGAAATCACATGGTTTCCATGATGGGTAAAATTAAAATGATCTTCGGATTACTTTATTCACACAGAACTTTTAGAAGTTTCTTTTATTTGCTGTTGCTGTATTGGATTACTCAGATTATCAGTAAAACTTACTTCTGACATTATGACAGCCAATCAAGAAAAGATGGGAGGTCACAAGTCTATTAGCAATAGATTTTCCAACTATATGCACTTGTCTTAAATAAATATCCTGTTATTATGGCTATATATGCTTTTTTTTACTTTAAAAATACAATCACACGACACTGATTTTCTACTCACTAACACAGGCTTTTTCAAAGTACTCCAGCCACAAGTCTAACCCAGATATTTCAAAATGTTTTGTTTTAGTGCAGATCAACAGTAGTAACATATTAGACAATAACAGCTAGATAGTCTGGAAAACTGAAGGCTTCCCTAACCCTACCAGGAAAGGCATGAACCACTAATCTACTTCAGTACCTGAATTTTAAAAATTAATGTATATAAACTCCTACAGCAAACAAACAAACAAAAAAAATCCAAGTATTGCATTTTACCAAAATCCGTAAGATTATATCACTAAAAGTTGTACCTTCTTCGGGTTACAATTTGAGCCCTTTTTCATTGTCCTCAGTAAAAATTCTGGCATATTATTTTCAATATCCTCACGTGTTCCCTTTTTGTGCAACACTGCAGCCAAAAATGAGATGACCTTGAGAAAGAAAACAATTCTCAGTGATTATGTACAACAAGAAATTGAATGAGTTCCACTGAAAATAAACATTTAGGACAAAATCCTGGATGTGACTTAGTAAGATGGTTTCACGGAGGGGGGTGATTGATTTAAAACCAACAAACAAAAACCCTAAACAAAAAAAAAAACAGTCTCACTTTTTAAAATGGGACCCTCTTCCCTTGGATTTCCATGAATTCCCTGAATTTATGATAACAGCAATTAGTTGCTCTATTTCACTCTTTCATCCTCTAAGTGAAAAAGCCCCGATGAGGTACAAATAAGCCAGGAAAAAATAAGAGATGAAGCATGCCCTGCAACTCTCCTCCTTTTGAGGGCACTTGAATCTCAGATGAGAATTCAGAAGGAACATACACTTGCCAACTATACTCTCAACACTATTTTTGCAATAGGAAGAAGATGCTTAACCTAGAGTTTTGTTTCTTACTAGTGTCTTCTTCTGTATGTTCCATTCCTTCAAATTGCTGTTGTTAACATCAAAACCATTTCTTTCTGCTGTGCCATATTCTCCCACCTGCCTCAGACCAGTCAAGGTGATTGTGAGAAGACGTTTCTTATAATACACCACTGCAAGGACAAACAGCACAGGCTATTCCAAACTGCTCCCATGGCAAACCAAAACAGGAATAAAGCAGAAAGATATCTGGCCAGAACATGCAAATCCGTAAAATCCACTTGGGATAAATGGTATGTGTGGGACTAAGCAGCAGCAAGGACCAGATGCATCATCAGAGAGGTGCCCTTCTTTTGAAAACTCAACAGGCCCCTTCTCCTCAGAGCAGTCAGCTCCAGACACTTCCTTCTGCAGCTGCTGCACAGCTGCTCATAGCAGGGCAGAGGTAAAGCTATCAACTGTTGATTTCCAAAAAAAGAGCTGTTTCCCTCTAATGACAGGGAGAAAGAGCCAGTCAGGAGGTCAAAAGTGCAGAAAAAATACCTGCCTGAGAAAAGTCAGATGGACAGAAGAGAGAGGAAATCCATCATTAATGTGGCTGCAGGGTGGGAGAGGTACGTTGAATAAAAGTAACCCAAACATTTTTATACATAGTATTTCACATAAGCTGAGGTTAAGAGGAACTGCAAGTCTGCATATGTTGTTTAATTAACGACTTTTAATTATTTTTTTAACTCCTTTTGAGAATAAGAATTAAATTCAACTGAACAATAAAACTCATTGTCTCTTCCAGATCCTTCATTTTTGGAAGCATTTGTATCACAAATTTCTAACAATAGCAAACACCATAACATGGCAACTCACTCTGAGATATCTTCAGCTCTTCCAGACAAAGCAAGAAGCAACCTAGAGGCATTAACAGGAAAACAACTTACTGTATTCACATTAAGAAACAACATTATCCTACTCGCCTCGCCTCCATCTCAACCTCAGCTTGAATTGAAAGAGCTCTACAGTCAAGCCAATTTAAGCAAAAATCAGTTCAGAAGTACAAAGAACATAAAGGTTTCCAGAAAAGTATTTGTCTCATAAATCATAATTGAGAAACAATAAGGTTCAGGCAACTGACAAGCATAAGTTTTCTATAAGACTCATTCAGTTACTCGATGAAGTTTAACTAGTATTTATTTTTTAATATGTATTAACTTTTTCTAAACAAGTGAATTCTTCCCTTTACTTCAAATCCACTGAACTGCCTTTTTCATACTGAACTGGAACATAAACACTGTGTTTTATAAAAAATCACAAGATCCCAGAATCATAAAATGGTTAGGGTTGGAAGGGACCTAAAAGATCATCTAGTTCCAATCCCTGCAACTGGCAAGGGTGCCATTCATTAGATCAGGCCTTCATCCAACCTGCCCTTTAACATAAAGGGTACTGGAAGGTCTCCCTAGAGCCTTCTCTTCTCCAGGCTGAACTGCCCCAACTCTCTCGGCCTGTCTTTGAAGGACATCCCTGGGATCACCTTTGTGGCCCTCCATCTTTCTGGTGCTGAGCTGGACACTCCAGGTGGCGTCTCAAAGGGCAGAGGGACAGAGTCACCTCCCTTGACCTGCAGTCCAGGGCTAAAAGGACACACTGTTGGCTCATGCCCAGCTCTTCACCCACAAGAAGCCCCAAGTCCTTCTCCACAGCACTGCCCTCAATAACCTCTTCTCCCAGCCTGTGCTCATGTCTGGGATTGCCCTGACCAAGGTGCAGCACCTTACACTTGGACTTGTTGAACCTCACGCGGTTCTCATGGGCCCACTTCTCAAGTTTATCCAGGTCCCTTTGGATGGCATCCCATCCTTCGGTTGTGTCAACTGCAGTGCTCAGCTTTGTGTCATCTCCAGACTTTCTGAGGCTTCACCACTCTCAATGTCTGTCACTGATGAAGACATTGTAGAACAGTCCTGAGGGACTTCACTTATCACCAGCCTCCGCCTCAACATAGAGCCATTGACCACAACTCTCTGCACCCGTCAAACTGCCCATCCATCAGATCCATGTCTCTCCAGTTTGGAGATAAGGATGTCATATCACAGGCCTTATAGAAGTCTAGGTAGATGGCATCTGTTGGTCTCCCCAGATCGACCATTGCCATCACTCCACCACAGAAGGCCACCAGACTGGTCAGGCACAATCTGCCCCTACTAAAGCCATGCTTCCTGCCTCAGATTACTCTCCTTGGCCTTTCTTTTCTGACCTGTGTACTTACAGAATCCCTCCTTGTTATTCCTCACAAAAGATGTTTTTTGAAACCTCTACCTTTCTTCTGCAAATTTGACACAGATTAAAAGAAATAACCATCATATGTGAATTCCACGTAGGAACACACTATCAGCTCTGAGATCCAAAAAATGAAAGCGATGCAAGCAAAACCACACAATTCCTGCCCCCTCTCCCTCCCAGTTTACTATTATCTTCTATATATACTTCTTACCACATGAAATCAGATTATTCGCAGTTCTGAGTAGAAACAGCCTTCCCTAACTACTGAGTTCTTAAACTGCTATGGCCATGCTTCAAATGGATGCAGTTTATTTTTAACAAGCATCTGTTAACAGACCATCATCAGCGAGTTTTGTCAGTTTAGCTTACTCACTCCTCTTGTCAAGTTTGCTACAGAACAATACTTCTTTGCCCTGAAAAGCTTCTGTCAACATTCTCCTAAACAACAGGGGAAGGGCAACAGATACCACAGCCAATACTTGTCACTGAAGGAATGAGCTTGCATTTGACACATGGACAGAGAAAAAGGAGAGGGGGACAAAGACTAGATACCACCAGACTCAAGCTGCTAACTTTAAACTAGACAGATTACAGTGAATTTCCACACATAGAAACACCCTAATTATAGCAAAATAAATAAACAATTTGGGCCACACAGAATCCAAGCATAACAAAAAAATCCAGCTATACTTTGTCCTCTCATCAACCCAGCTGCACTTCCAAAAGAGTGACAGAAGCAGGATGGTCCAGAGATGGGAATAAATGTGCCTGCTCCTTCCCATTCTCAGAACAGGGAAACTATTTATTTTCAGGAAAAAAAGAAAAGAGACATTTTAAAAGCTACAGTCAGGTAAGGGCCCCAAGTTGGTTTAGTGCACTGCAGTGCAAATTCCTTTCAGGATAGACAGGTAGCAATCCTCAAAGTAAATTCAACACAGTAAACCAAAGGGGTCACATCCCAGTTTTATGGCTGCCAGGAGTGAATCTTATATCAGCAACGGCTCCTGGCTCTGAGTGCTGTCCTGGATGGTCATGTCCTGGCTCATCTGACTCCACAACAACAAGGAGAGGTTAAGCTTCATAAATACAGACTTACAGTTCACACAAAACATGCTGTTCTCCCACTGTAACAATCAAAAAGAATACCTGTATTGTTTTTCCGAGGCCCATATCATCTCCAAGAATACATCCCCTTTTATTAGCATAGTGTCTGTAAAGAAACTGGGCTCCTTCCCTTTGATAATCACGCAGGTATCTGTTAATTGTATATGGGATAAAACACCCACTGTCCGATAATTTAAAAGCAACTGCAGGAGATGGAAGATTTTGGTCAGGAAAATATGGCTTTTCCAGATCAACATCATCAAATACTAAGCTTTTCCAGGGTCCTCTACTGTCTTTGACTCTGCAAAGTTTAGTTACTAATATTTTCCTTTCTTCAGACTCCAAGAATAATACAACAGCAAATGATTTTCCACTCTTGTCCTTTTCAAGTGAGGTTATTACTCCTTCCTGAAGTTTTCCATCTTCAAGACAAGGGGCAAGGCATTTCTCCCCAATACGCCAACAATCTATAAAAAAACCAAACACAGTGATAAACTGGTCTGACATACAAAGTGTTTAATTTCTTCACATTATTAAAACATTGGATGTAAATTTATTTGACAAAATGCATACACCTTAAGATAAAACACTTTACTGAAGGAAGCACTAAAATAAAGAAACCAATTACTGTTTACAACTAAACATAAAATTATAGTTTGCTCCAACACTGCTATTTTATAAATACCAGAAGGTGTATACGAAAAAAAAAGTAAAAGCCAGATTGTGATGTATTAAGTTGTTACACAGTGGCTTCACACAGGCAAACACAGCAGTGCATATCAGCATCAAAAGAACCTACGTCATACTGACAACAAAAACTAGAAGAAAAAAAACTATCAGAAAACACAAGGCCTTCACTCTTCACAGTAAAAAGACCTTGTAAATAATAAAGGCATGGAGTTTTCCAAATCTGAACTGAGAAAGGGGTGTCCTTCTGAGTTTGTAGAAAAAATTTCCAACTTTCCCCTGCTGAGCCACCACAAAACAAAGAGATACATGATTAATTTCAGGACTTTTATTGCTTCTTATCTATTTGCTTATTTGCTAAGAAAGTCATTATCAATGACAATGAGAGGCCCCTAAAGTTTTTCCAGGAAAGAGCAAGCCAGAGAGACTCTTGTCCAAGAGCAAGTATTCACACTTCATGCTTATGACCAGCGGTAGTACACGCTTCTGGGCACATTAACACAGACACTTTTCAGAGGTAAGGAAAAGAGGGAGTCCTGAAGGCAAGAAACCACCCATTTTTATGTTTCTGTGTGAAAACCCCATGGAGATTCTCCTCAGCAGGTCCTGGAAGTGTATGCTCACAGGACTATTCTCCACAATGTATCAGTTAAATTGGTGATAACTACAACCCATTTTTTAAATGGATTGAATAATATACTCTAAAACAAAAACATCCATGTAGCCCACTATTCTGCAACCAGCACTGGCCATAACCTGACATGAGGTAACAATAAAAACAGTACAAACATACAGAGTACTCCTCTTCTAAAACACTTGGGCCTTAAAGTAGTCTTTTAGCTACAGAGATTCCACAGGCCATGTGTGATTTGTCTGTTTAGTAAACCCCAGCTGACTGCTCTCTTCTCAGTAGCTCCATTTCCCTTTCAACATACGCAGATTTCTTGCATTCAGTGCCTTCTGACCACAGATATTGCAGGTCTGCTCTTCACACCTGTCACGCTTTTGCTCGATATGAACTTCAGTCCCAAGACCCGAACTGATAGCCCACTAGATCTTACACTAACAAGGACATAAGCCATGACCTCTCCACAAGACTCACCACTTTGCAGATCTCTTTAATAATGCCCCTTTAGGAGTTCAGCCCTGCACCTTGGGACCTGCACATAAGCTGTTCCTACCTTCGGCCATTCCCTCGGATCTTCTCCAAGACTTGAAGCTCAAACGTATCTTCTTGAGGCAAAGGGTGAAGTACAGGTTCAACAAATCACAAACAACTAGTCCCTAAAGCTCTCAGTATCTGTACCAGTGTCTCACACACGGTAAAATAGACGCAAAAAGGTGTGTACATTAACTTCTCCCAGTAGCATCTAAGTCTTCCAACAATTTCATAAAAACAGGAACTAAAACTGAAAACCTGAGACAAGCTGTGTACAGTACATTGATAAATATGCAAACCAAAGTCTAAAACAGGAGAGCATTTCTGTAATTACTTCCTTTTACAGTAATATCTGCAGTGACACGCAACATTAGTTTAGAGACTTTCAAGTTAAATCCACGATTTAAGACAACAGCATGATTGTTTTTAACTAAGCATTTATGTGAGGTTAAGGAGTTGCATAGGACTCATCACAACTGGAGTTCCAGGTGTAAAGTGGAATAAACCACACTGGGCAATAGTACTAGTGTTACCAAGCTCCAAATCTAGTGAGAAACAAAGAACAAAATGAGAAAAATGCGCACACACACAAAAAGTGGTATTAAGAACACCATGGCTACAAAAGCCTATCAGGTCAAAGCAAGAATTGCTAGTTTAACTAGCCTGACTCACTAAATTCGTGGGGTTTGAACTAGAACCATAATTCATGTGGAGTACTGTCTTTAAAAACAAAGAAAATTACCTGGCATGGCCTCCTGGCATGGGTTCAGTACACCTGCCACCATGAAGAAAGCTGGTATTTCAGATGCTTGCCTACACTACAGTTCGAAAAAATGTGCCATTGTCTATTTTAAGCTAAATCATTGTGATAATGGCCTCCCGTCACACCCTAGCTCCTTTCAACCACTACTCCTCCAAAAAAAAAAAAAAAAGGCGAAATTATCATGAATGCTTCTAACTACTGAAAGCTGACCACTTAATGTAGAGCGTCAGGGTTTCTGGGGTTTTTTACACTTCAATAAACGACTGTAAAAGCAAAATTCAAGGATACTGTAAAGTAAGACACACGGAAGACGCTTACCTGGGGCACCATCATCACACATTTTAACTTTGGGCCGTGCAAAGCCCAACGCAGCCTTGTGGGCGGAGGCACCGGGGGCGGGCGGGCACCGCCGCGCTTGGGGACCCACGCGCCGCCCTCACGGCGTGGGAGGGGGCTCTGAGGGAGGCCACGGGGGCGGCCTTCGGGGTAGTGCCCCGCGCCGCTCCTCGGCCCTGCTGCGGCCCCGCTCGGCCACGGACGGCCCCTGCCCGGCCCGGCCCGGCCTTGCCGGCGGGCGTTGAGGGGCCGCGCGCTATCGCGAGAACTTAAAAGAGGGCCGGCGGAAGCGCGGGGAGTAATCGCGAAGGTGTGTGGCGGAGCGGGGGCGGCACAGAGCGACGCCAGGGGGTGGCCCGGCACGGCCGGGCGGGCAGTGCGGGAGCGGGCGGCTGTGGGTGGTGAGGGGGGCGGGCTGTGGGGTGGGGAACGGCCCGGGCCGGGCTGTGGGTGGGGAGCGGGGCGGGCTGTGGGTGAGTGCGTGTGGGCGGGCTGTGGTGGCGGGGCGAGGTGTGAGGTGCGGGACGGGCCGGGTGTGTGTGGGGAACGGCGGTGTGGGTGGAGCGGGGCCGGCTGTGGGTGGGAGCGGGCGGGCGTGGAGCGGACGGGCTGTGTGTGGGGAGCTGCCGGGCTGGTGGTGCGGGAACTGGCCGGGCCGGGCTGTGGTGGGGGCGCGGCCGGGCTAGTTGTGTGGGAGGGCCGGGCTGTGTTTGTGGGAACGGGCCGGGCTGGGTGTGGGGAGCGGGCCGGGCACGGCCGGGCTGCGCCCAGTGCTGAGCTCCTCAGGACCAGAGAGACAGGGAGCTCCTGTAGCGAGTCCAGCACAGAGTGATCAGGGCATTGAGAAGGGACGACTGAGAGGGGACCTCGTCGATGTGTGTGAGCATCTGAAGGGAGGGAGGACGGAGCCAGGCTCTGCCCGTGGAGCCCAATAACAGCACAAGGGGAACGGGCAGAAATGATGCCCAGGAAGTTCCACCTGAACATGAGGAAGAACTTCCTTACCGTGTGGGTGACCACACACTGAACAGATTGTCCAGAGAGGGGTGGGGTCTCTCTCACTGGGGATATTCCAGAACCCTCTAGACACAATCCTGTGCCATGTGCTGTGGGATGGCCCTGCCGGAGCAGGGAGGTTGGACCAGGTGACCCGCTGTGGCCCCTTCCAGCCTGCCCCATTCCGTGATTCTGCACGGGAGGGGGGAAAGAGATCTAAACTTATTCTCTGTGAAAAAACTGGGTGGGTAAGGAAGTGGGGAGAAGATGTGGTGCAGTGGAAGGCACAGCTGGCGTGGCAGAGAGCAGCCAGCTGTGCGGAGCTGGGAGCTGCTGAGGGCCGAAGGTCCAGCATTTGGGAAAATTAAAAAATCAAGAGAGGCCTGCTCGCCTACAGCTGTTCCTCCTCCACCCCTGAAAACCTCTCCATTCTCAGGAGAGCTTAGCTGGACGCAGTAACATTTCACAGATTACAAACACGATCAGTAGAAACCACGTGGTTCTTGCCAAAAAAAATTAAGCCCCATTAAAAAATCTATCCAGATGGACTCATACTTCAGTAGCAATGCCATAGAATGTTACATGAGGGGTTTGGCTTCCCAGATCCCTGCTATTGCTTTGAAAAAACACTTTAATAGAGCCATACTAAGTAGTTTCGCTTTTGAAAGGTGAGTGCATATATGTAAGTAGCATGCAAGACCTATTTTTAAAGTGGCTTTGGTTTTTAATGCAGAAGACAAGAAATTTGGGATTATTTTCCCATTGTTCTTAATTATCTTTTTAACTTCAATCGTTTTTTTGGTGAATTTTAAGGTGGGAGTAATCACTGGCAGTAAAAAAACCAGGATTCTTTTGTCATATGCCATGAACGTGTGTACAATGAAGATGGATAGTCAGACTGGCTAATTAAAATTGTACATCCTGCAGTATTTTCAGAAGCAAGGCAATAAATTTTCCAGTATGTGGATCTCTGTGCCTTTTGTGCATGCAGCCAACATGCAGACAGTGACCTGTCTGCCCTGAGAGTAATGAAGACTTGTGTGGCCTGGAGCAGCATTAAGTTGCTTCCTTAAGTTGTCTGCAATTAGAATTTTGTTCTAAAAGAAGTCAATGAAAGGTGGGTGGTGTTTGCTCAGCCAATTATGTTAGACTGATGGGAAAATAGCAAACATGAAAGCAGCAGAACCAAAAAAGTAGCAAGCATGAAATTACCAGTTGCTGTAACAATAAACGTACATGAATATCGAGCACCACATATGTTCGAGGAGGCTGTTCAACAATAAAACATAACATAGTACTAATAAATTGTATTATTTTAAAATATACATGTAGTCATGCATTCATTCCAAAGAAACATGGTAAGAACGGTCCCATGACCTCAGGTACCTAATACACCCTCAGAGCATCTTAGGAAGAGGAGCAAGGATATAGGTTCTGATTCTAAGGATGCTTTTAAAGTGGATCATGTTTGAAGATGTGTGTGTTTATACTACAGGGTGTTTATTTAATCAGTACTGTGCTGCATTTATTTCTTATCAATTGTACTTAAGGACTCTGATGCAGAGTAAAGTTGCTATTTTACAGTCACAAATTCAGTATTATGCATTCACAATAGAAGAAAATAAGAAACAGATTAAACTCAAACACTTCAATTTCTCTAATAAACAGGCGGTAAAATTCTGCCTACCCTCCAGGATCCAATTGTGCTTTTATGTCAGTGATAAAATCTCACTAGCATAGCTGGAAACAGAATTGCACCTGAAAATGCCAGGATGAGTTTCCATTACAGTTAGGTACACTCTTGAAGCTCTTCCCTTCAGGAGGGAGAACAAAGGGAAGAAAGCACCCTTAACAGGAACAATTGGTTGGCTGCATGTCAGCACGTGGTTTTCTTTTACCATTAAAATTTCTCTTGCAAATTACAAGCAGTTTCTGTATTTTTACTCCACTTGGGAAAAAAAAAAGCTAGAAAACAAGCTGTCCCTCTGAGATTAGGATATCTTTCATGTAATACCCTTGTAAGACTGGGCTCATAATGAAAATGTTTCCCAAGACCAGAGAATTCTTTAGCTCTGTCATGTATTGTTAAAATATGAATAAGTATATGAAAGTCCTTTCAGGAATCTTTCTAACACAAGTTATTTTCGGGGATATCAAAAGTGCCTCACACCATGTTTCTTCAGGGAAAGATTTGTAAAAGGATTTCATTTTGAAAAGCTGTTACCATTACTGAAAAGTTGAATGTATCCAAACTCCATATTAAAATTTGAACTATGCTCATATGTGACTTAGTTTAGGTTTCCTAAGAGAAGTGTTAGGCTCAGATAACAACCAAAATGAATACCATAATGGGGCTAAGCACTTTTTAAATATGTGCTATATCCCTGAAAGCATTTCACATGTAACAGTGTGGCCTTCCTGTTCACTCTTCTTTGACAGAGAGAGGAGATAAATTAACTGATGTGCATCTAAAAAGAGCAGCTTGGTTACATTTACATGTCAGTATGTCTGAAAACAAAGCAAGCCAGTGATTTTCAGATGCACTCAGCATTGGAAAGCCTAACTGGCACCCACAGAAAGTACAGGCATCTAGAATTTTTTTAAATGTCAGTTGTTTACTGCTATATTAGAAGAAAGGGGTGGTTCAGTTAATTGATATTAATTAAGCATGGCAGCATCAGAAGTGCTACAGAGAGGAACTCTGTAATATGAAACTCATCAAATTAACATTTTGGAAGACCTTTAGTCTCCCCAGCATTTCATTTGCCACAGTGTTTTACATGTTACCCGTTTACAGTATTGAAGAAGCTCTCAGATTTCTTCCTGGAAATGAGCATGACTGGGTTCTCCAAAGTGTCTGTAAACTGATGCATTTCCATAAGGAGCAAAGAAAAGGCATTAGAGCCCTGGCTTTGATGGGCATCACGTCCCAGAGATGTGGAAGGATGGCTCACCTGCCTGACTGCTGCAGTGGGCAGATCTGGGCAGGATTTAGGAAGGGTAGACCAGGACAGCAGGGAGCAGGTCTGGCCTTTTCCATCAGACAACAACAGGGATACCTGGAGCTCTGCCTGGTCTGCAGTGACCATGAGAAGATGGGGTTCGAGACCTTGAAAGAAGGGAACAAGGCAAATCAAATAGCAGGATCACAACCCTGGACTTCAGTTCACTGGCTTGGTGGATTAGGGGAAAGCAGTCTATGTTGTTTATCTTGATTTCAGCAATGATTTCACTGCTTTCTCCCATAACATCCTGGATATACAGGCTGATGAAGCATGGAGTAGATAAGTAGATAAGATGGACTGAAAACTGGCTGAACTTCTGGGCTTAAATGATTGTTATCAGCAGCACAAAGTCCAGCTGCAGTCTCATTACTAGTGGAGTATTCTGGAGTCTGATACTGAGGCCAGTACTGGCCATTCATCAATTGAATGGTGGGACAGAGTGAATCCTTAGCAAGTTTACATATAATACATGGTTGGGAGGAGTGGTTTGCAGACCAGGTACTTATGTTGCCATCCAGGAAGGCTGTGACAGGCTGGAAAAAAAGGCAGGTAGCAATCTCATGAAGTTCAACAAAGTCCCACAGCAAGGGTCAAATAACCCTGTGCAGCAATATAGACTGGAGGTCAACTAGTTGGAAAGCAACTTTGCAGAAAGGGACGACAACAACAGCAGGTTGGCCAAGAACCAGTAGTGTACCCTGGCAGCACAGAAGGCCCACAGTGCCTGGGCTGTGCCAGGAGGAACACTGCCCAGTAGACCAAGGGATGCGAGCCTTCCCTTCTGCTCAGCCCAGGGGAGAACACATCTGAAGTGCTGTGTCCAGTTCATGGCTCCCCACGAGAAAGACGGGGACATCCTGGAGAAAAACCAAGGCCGTGAAGCTTAAGAAACTGGAGCTGGGATTGTGTAACCTCAAGAATATAAGTCTCAGGGGAGATCTTGTCTGTGCACAAACACCTGATGGGAGGGTATAAAGAGGGTAGATCCGTACTTTTCTCGGTGCCCAAGGCAAAAGGCAACGGGTGCAAATTGAAACAGGAAATTCCATTTAAGGATAAGGAAAAGCTCTTCAGCTGCGAGGG